GCTGTAAAGCTAAAATAATTTTTGGAAAGGGGGAAACTTCTCCCATTGATATGGGAAGCTACAGGCCAGGAAAGGACACATGGGCAACTGCAGCCACTTTTGCAGTTCACGTCTATGAAGGGTTCCAGAACAGACAGGAAACTATGGTTGCAGCACTGGATCTCGAGGATGCTTATAACAGAGTGAGATATGACATTTTGATGATCGCACTGAAGGAGATATAGGTCAGTTCCTGGCTGGTGAATTGGGTATTCGTGTCGGGTTGCTCTTCGACTGGGCTCATAGACCTCAGAACCATGCAGTTTAGCCCCAGGACTGCCACAGGGATCCACTATCTCGCCTGTGCTCTTTAACACGTATATGAGCAAGATTGCAAGCCTAGAAGCACAAGGGGTTGGAAGGATACTGACTTTTGCAGATAATATGCTTGCATATAGGCAGGGGGAAGACAGGGAACAAACAGCCCGACAGCTACAAGCGACAGTAGACAAAGTGACTGAGTGGTGTACAGAAGTGAGGGCTGTCGTCTACCCGGAAAAGGCATCATCTGTTTTGTGGTGTTCTGTAGACAACAGGATTGTTAGAGCTGATGTCCCAAGTCTCACTATAGATTGTAGAAATGTCAACAGAGAGAGCCAACTGAAGTATCTGGGAATTACATTTGACAGGAGCCTGTCCTTTAAGGACCATGTGGAGTGTGTTGTGATAAGATGCCAAAAAGGGACTCAGTGCACTTAAGACTATGGCTGTAATTGACATAGAGTGGAGAATTCTTTTCACACCATATCAAAACCTGATCCTGACAGTGGTTGATTATGGCCTGGGCCTGCTTACTATCTCAAAGAATCAGATAAACAAACTAGAGCGCATACAGAAAGCAGCATGTGGGTCGTTCTGGGTTGCACCAGAGAAACCCCAGTGGTGTGTAGGCAATACATCCTTGGTTTGCCGACGGTTGCAGGTAGGCACAAAGTGCTGCTGGCGAAGTCATATTTCAAGTTAGCTGCAGTCACAGATTACACTTTGTTGCACGAAGCTATGGGCGCAGTTAAGGTCAGCGGCTGATAAGAGGTAAGTCATATATGGCTCGGGCAGAAGATACAATCAAACATGTCTGCATCCTGAAGAACATTAGGGAAGGAGAGGAATGGGTCAAGGTGCCAGCTGAACAGTCAGACTTGTGTAGGGTCATAATCACATTGAGCCAGGAGTGCAGAGATTGGCCACGGAGGTGGAAATTCAGCAATTAATTAAAAATAATGCTTGCTCAGAGGATGTGATTACTTATACAGTCGGTTCAGTACTTAGAATTTCTTAGAAAAAATTAATGGTCGATGCTTTGTGCATGAGAATCTAGCATATGATACCACAACATCAAGCTTAAGATTGGAGGTGGAGGCAGTCACTGCAGCTTTCAACAAACACACATTGTGATTGCAACTGATTCAGAAAGCATGCTGAGGAATGTCAGGACAGGCATGCTTCATGCTTCACTGCAGAGGACAAGGGTGAGGTGTATGGTCTGGATTTTTTCTCCTGGTGACGCCGGTGTGTTGGGAAATGAACAGGCAGACAGACTGGCCGGCTCTACGCAGCTTGATGGAATATTGATGTATGATAAGGCAGACGTGGTTAGTGCCTTGTGGGAGAGCGTGTACAGTTCGGAGGAGCGGATGGATCACACAGTCTGGTGAGATTGATGTAGCGGGGAGTGACGAGGAGATCTGGCCGATGCTCGAGGCTCAGAGGAAATTGAGACGATCATTTAATCAGAATGCTTCTGGCATCATTAGTATTGGAACTCTGCACTGGCTGCTGAAGATGGGAACAGAGTGCTTATGGGAATGGCCCGAGTGCTGTGATGTCGGTTCATGAATCAACTCAACTCAGCTCACAAACACATGCAAGCACACATAAATTTGTGTAATTTCAAGTATACATATGTTCTCACACATACATGTACACATTGAAGCAAGTTTTGTTTCTAGCCACAAGTCTAATGTCTGACTTTGTATCTCTCCAGGATAGGTACAACTTATTCATGTCTCTGTTCATTTGTACTGTTGTACAACACTGAATAGGTATACACATACACATCAGAGTAATCTTTGTTTCAACCACATATCTAATGCTTGACTTGGTATCTCCCCAGGAAATGAGTGTGTACAACTTATCCGTGTCACTGTTTCCCCCGGACTCCCCAGAGAAACCCGTCCTAGACCTACCTCTTCACTTGGTATTCCTGTGTTTCCCCATTGATGAGCTGCTGAAGATATTCACTGCAATCCTTTGTGAGGAGAGACTGGTGTTTGTCAGCTCAAACTATGCGCTTCTTACCATTGTAATGGAGGTAAGGAACTCATGTTTCATGCTATCTTGATAATGTCTTATCTGTCTGGAACTAAATGTTGAATGTTGAATTAAGAATTGACATCACAGCACTCAGGACACTCCCATAAGTGCTCGGTCCCGATCGTCAGCAGCAAGCAAAGAGTTCCAATTCGGATTGTACCATTAACTGTCTGATTGTATATCTGTCTCATCCTTTCCCTGAGTGTTGAGTGTCGGCCAGATCCCCTGGTAGCTCCTGGCAGGGCCATTCTCCTTAGACTGTAATGATGTCTCTGTTTATTTACTCCGAAAGGGCCCTCACAATGTCTGGAACTGAAAAAATGGAAGGGAAGAGTGATCAGTTTTTGTTTAATGTCTGCTATCTCTGTGTGGGTTCCTCTGTTCAATTAGGTGGGGGGAGGGGGGAGAGGGGGGGTTTAGATCCACTGCTCCCTAACAAGCATGTTGTAAAAGTCGACTAGGGATATTTCCTTCGAAGTAGTTGTGCATCTGAGAAGCGAAGAACCAACAGTCTGCATATGAATAAGTCAGATCTGTAAAATAAATATTCATGCTAAACTCACATTCTGCTAACAACCAGAACTTTCCACTGGAGTTTACAGCCACTGAACACTCAGAAGAAGAAGAGAAATGTCAGCTAAGATGTATGTGAGTTACAGGGAACGTTGCAGGGCCAACCCCAACATTTTCCGTCTGTTATGGTTTTTATAGACAAATTCACATTCAGTAGCTTGCTATTGCTAGTGAATGGTTGACCCTTAATAGCATTATCAAAACCAGTGCAAGGCAGTCTGCTGCCAAACTGCCTACAACTGTAATTGAACTAGGCACCCCATCATTATGAACCATGCTCACAGCGCAGACAAAATGCAGAAAAAAGTTAGGCAGTGATACAAATGGATGAATAGCAGTCTGAGAGAGTGTACAAGTAGGACAAGAGACAGAACATTAGAGGTAGATTTGCAGCCAACCATTTTTTGGAGATGGCACCTGATAGACTGATGTTACTAGGTGCTGAATGAGTTAAGTGAAGGAGTTTTCTGATTTACTGCCGTTCTGTGGCTTGAAGGTTAGTGAATAGGTTTTACAGTGCAATCCTCACCATTTATCTGGGTTTGGTTCCGGCAATGGGCAGCTCAGACGATGACTGCTGTGTCAGACAATGGTAAAAGAGTCATACCATGAAATAGATTGGTGCCTCACAGTCTAATACAGTGCAGACCACTTTAGGGGATCTCCGATGTGACACGTTTCTTTTGTGGAGAACAATATGTTTATCCCCTGTAATTTTTCTTGAACTCTTATCCAGATAAGAGGAATTTCTGATAAGAAGAACCATTTCTTTGGTCCCTGATGAGTTCTCTGTATCAGGTCTGCACTGTATTGCCATAGTTAGGCATTGAAATATTGCAGCCAATCTCTTTTGTAGAGGCGGCACAGTTTTAAAGACCTTGTCTGAAAACTAAACATAAGGGACTTTGTCTTGGCATGCATTAGGTTTATGGTACTGGCCAAATATTTTATAAATAAGTAAATTATTTGGCACTTGATGGGTGATGTGGTCAGTATTACATCTACCACTTTGACCCCCTAAAAGAGGGCCGTTCATTTGGCAGCCCATGGGCAGAGTCTGGCCCACAGAGGCTTAGCGAGTATCCTGTGGATCATTGCCAACGATAGTGTATTAGTGATCTTTGCTTGTTGGTTCTGGGGACTCATTGTGGAGAAAACAAGAATAGACTTGTTGCCACCCCAACAGACTTGTTGTAGGAGTCGACTAACTGGGGACTTCCTTCGATTTCGGGGTACATCTGTCCGAGAAGCAATGAAGAGCCAACTGCACACAAATAAGCCAGTAAAACGGATTTACACGCAAAACTCATGCCCCGGCACAAAGCCAAAGTCCAAATGATCGAGCAACCAGGACTTTCTGCCAAAGCTTACAGCCGGTGAACAGAGAAAAAGATGAAGAGCATTAGTGATCTTTCAATCTTGGAGCTCGGGCTTGTGTTTTGAGACAGTCCCCAGTTTTGACATTGTAGCTCCTGAATAAACGTAGCTGAATAGCCCAGCCTTAAAACATTTCATGTGCTCACATCTAGTTTGGATTGACTTTAGGAGCTTAGATAGTTTAAAAAAATCTGGCTCGAATGGAATTTGAATGAAGACCTCCAGGCGGGTAGACAGATGTGTGCTAGTCTCTGCTCTTCTTTAGCTTCCTTATTTTCTGAATGATGACAGTAAAACAAAACATCCTCCCCTTTGTGGGTTTAGGGGCCTCATCTTTGGGGTCAAAAATAATAACTCCACTGCCCCCTACAAGTTGTGTTGTAAAAGGCGATTCATTTATGGATTTACTCAAGTCGGTTAGGCCAAAAGGTGCAGATATTGTAAACTACAACACAATGTGCCAACCACCCTTTTAAGGGAGAAAAAAAAAGAGCAACAAATGAATGAATGAATGAACTTTTTTTTCAAAGGGTTGAGAATTGGGCACACAGGCCCACCCAGCATTCTGCCCTTCTAATCTGCCTCCTTTCATACATCATTTCATTCTATATCTGTTAAGAACGCACATACCTGTACCAAACAGAACACAGGCATACTGACTGATGGGGTAAATTATTGTTTTCTACATTTGTTCCTAGAGTTTTTTGTACTACATCCTCCCCTTCAACTGGAGGTTTACATATGTGCCCATACTCAGTGCTTCATCTTTGGAGATATTAGATGCTCCAGGAACTTTCATGATGGGATGTAATTCTAGACATCTGAATGAAGTCCAGAGGGTAAGTTGGCAGGATAATTTGTATTAGAGAATTTTAGAACAGGTCAGTGAAAAGGCACATACACACTCGCATACACACAGTGTATCACTCTCTCTCTCTCTCTCTCTCTCTCTCTCTCTCTCTCTCTCTCTCTCTCTCTCTCTCTCTCTCTCTCTCTCTCTCTCTCTCTCTCTCTCTCTCTCTCTCTCACTGAAGGTATTTTCAGTAGTACTAAACAGACGTTCACTTGGTACTCTCATAGGTGGTGCACCAAGATAATGCTTGACAGCATAAAGCAAGGTGGGAAATCTTGACATGTTTATTTTCCATCAGTCCAGGGGGTCAGTGTCTATGGGATACACGGCTCTGGTAGTTATTCACTCCTGTTTCACTGGTAACTTGAATGTCTCTATTCTGTGCCTTAACAGGCTGCAACTGATCCAGCAAGGTCTTAAAGTCGTTAGGTTTAATTTTTTTAACTGGAACTTGAGAAGTTTGGCCTGTAGCTGTCGATGACTGGCAATTTAATGTAGCAGTCACAATGTCTGTCTTGGCTTGTAATTGCTTCATGATGTGGATCCAAGCCAGCTGAGACCGCATACAAGCTATTTTCATACAAGTCCGAAAATCTCCCTTTCATTGATGCTACAAGTTGGCCGACTGTCTTCTTGATGCCCTCATCACACACATCTGTCTGAACTTACAAGAAGATAGTCTGAACAGCTGGTAGGATATCTGAAAAAAAAAAAAAAAAAAAAGGAATTGTTGTCGTTTATTTCACGTGTCAATTGTTCAAAAGGCTGCAGAATTGCAACAATTCTTGCTACTAGAACCCACTGGCTTGTTGTCAGCTTTAGAGCCTTCTTGTAACCACTATTCGTATTCGGTCGAATACCGAATGGTATTTAGGTCCACTGTTCGGCCCCGAAGTGAATATGGAGCGAATATTCAGTACAGTTCTTATATATATATATATATATATATATATATATATATATATATATATATATATATATATATATATATATATATATATATATAAATATATATATATATATATATATATATATATATATATATATATATATATATATATATATATATATATATATATATATATATATATTTCAAAATATTCATTCTGATCTATTAGATTCAAATATGACTACTATTAATAATAATAGTTCATTAAAATTTAGATTGAAGCCTTTACATGTCTTCTTCTTCTGGTCCATGCTGTGTCATATTGGTAGCTATGTCTATCCACAACCTTCTGTCTTGTGTGCTGTCAATCAGTTCTGACACAGGTTATTTGCCATGCTATGATGTCAAACTGTTCAACATCTTCTGCCTCTGTCTCCATCTGCTTCTTTTTCCCTCCAACTTTCCCACTGTGATGATGTTCTCCAGTTTTCTCCTTTGCATTACGTGACCAAAGAATGTAGATTTCTGCTTCTAATGTTAACAGATGTGGTCTTTCTTTGCAAAGTATTTGCTGTAAACTTTACAGTTATTGGAATAAAATGGCATGATATTGTCTAACCTATAAATGTAGTGCTGAACATTGATAACGCACTTTTTGTGGTGCAAGGATTTAGATGTATAATGTCTGTCTTGAGCTTGAACAGATGTGGTAGGATTTATGATGTGGATTGCAAAGATTTTTACAAAGCAGAAATGAGGGTATATTCTTCTCTCATTTTCGGGTAGTGAATCATTTGTCATTTCTGTTCAGATACAAGAAAAACTGAATGGACCTGTGTGCCCATCGAATACCTCAACCTCCCTCTCTCTATTTGGGCTCCTAGACCCCATTGTAAGGGAGCCATAAAAAAATAAGAGATCCAATGCCAATCCATTTCCCCATACCATGTTTTAATAGGCCAGTAAATAAGGGTTTGCTGTGATCGGATGTTTTGGGCAGAAGGGGTACACATATCATAGCCTAGATGTAAATACTAATGCAGCATGCTGATCGCCATTTTAAGGATGAATTGCAGGAAAAGAAAATGTTATCATCATCAAGTGCCTTATCGACTGGCAAGGGCAGTCATGGAAGAAGAAGATCATGTTAAAACTCTCTTGATGATATAGGTATAATTCAGAACTGAAAAGCTGCCACGAAAAGGATATTTACAACATGATTGCTTTGGTTATGTGCAGAAATTTAAATCACTACTTCCCATGTGGGTTCTGAGGCCCCATTTTAGGGTAAAGAAGAATAGACTCACTCCCCCCCCCCCCCACCCCCCCCCCCCCCCCCCCCCCCCCCCCCCCCCCCCCCCCCCCCCCTAATCCTCCACTTAGCCTCAAATCTTTTTAATCATTGTGTGATCCATGGAGACTGAACTACTTATTAACTCTTTCAAAACCAAGCAACACACCATGCGTTTGTTACATTCTACTGCAAGTTTTTCTCAGCTTTCTTCCTTTCTTCGCCCCACTAACCCACTTTATCCGTAATGTCATTTTAACTCTTGTACCGCATGGTATTATAATTGTGACTTATTCAGACACATACAGTTATTAGTTAAAGTAACAACTTCTAAAAATATAATCAGTTCAATTGAGTCTCATCTGGGACTGACAGAATTAACACATCTCTATGCAGTAAAAATAACCCTTTACAACCAAATCAATGCATTATTTAAAATGACTTTGCAGTAGACATAAAGCCACTTTGCCACAGTCTTGTATTTCAAATTCAGGTTGAAGGTCTGATTGTGGTCAACATTGACGAGGGCACGGTGGGTGTTAACACAAGAAGAGGGTTATCACCACCCAGCTCATGGTCATCCTCAAGCTCCCAGCAAGACTTGGCTCTCAGTGAGGACATGACCCCACTCATCCCAAATCTCCCAGCAGAACCAGTGAATATTTTCAAGCACATCTGTAAGAGAGCCAAGTTTCAGATGGAGCTGTCGGATGTTCAGAGGTAACCAAATAATAATAGTTTGAGTTGGTTGAAAGATTTAGACATGACCAGTGAATATTTTCAATCATGTATGTAAGAAAGAAGCAAAATTTCAGATGGAACTGACAGATTTTCAGAGGTAACTAAATAAGAGATGTTGAGTTGGTTGGTTAGCAATCCTTTGAAAGACTGAGCTCTAATTAGTGAGCACATGTGTAAGAGAGCCAAGTTGCAGATGGGGTTGTCCGATGTTCATTGATAACCTAATCATAGAGAGATAGAGTTGGCTGTTTAGAAGTTCTCTGGAAGATTGGGCGCCTATAGTTAGTGCAATATGTTGATGTTCAGTTAAATCAGAACTGTGAAATCTTCTAGCATCTATGTAGGGAAATGAAAAAAAAAGTAAAGGTCTCTTTTCCATGCCTTTAGGCGTTTAGGGCATATTTTTATAGACCAATCGGCACAAGATGGGTAATGTGGTCAGCATCACACCGGCCGCCTTTACTTCCTTGGACTGTACTAGGTATCCACTCAAGGCTGGGTCGACCTAGGTGTCAAGGTCATTTTTGAAAAAAGTCCGGCGCTGCCAAGGAGCGAACCCACGACCTTCCTATCTGCGTGCGAGCATCTAGTCGTGACACTACGGTGTCTCCCTATGTAGCCAAATGAGGCTGGTTTATAGGCTTTCCTCCCTATCCTGGTACTGAAAGTCTTTAGTTAGAATTGCATGTGGGCAGATTAAACAATAAAAACTAAATGCCATGGACTCCTGGTGGACTTAGATTAAAATGTGTACCAGAAAAAATCCAAAAAAAGTAAAGGTGGCATGCTATTAACCTTATCACTCATCAAGTGTTGCCTGGTCTGTAAAAATATGAGTCTATGCAACTGCAGCTCTTGTTTTCTCCCATTGACCATGGTTTTTTGTGTGTGGTCACGTTTCCAAATTTTTATTCAACTGAATTTGAAGAATCCTGTTCATGTCTTGTTCACACCAAGCATATATTGATGGACCTATATTTTCTATAGACCAATGGGTGACTTGGTAAGCATCACACTGGATGCCCTCATTTTTATAGGGCCAAGAAAAAAATTCGCCTAACTGCGGATTTAAACCCTAGATTTTTGGTCGACAAGTGTGCATTTATTCACTGCTCTGCTGTGGTTGTCTTACTTAAATTAGGGTAAATAAATGATCAGACAGCTGACATCAATCGCATGTATCATTTGTCTTCCAAACTGTATTTAAGTGGATTAGAAATAGTGTTTGTAATTATTATTGTTATACTTCAGATTGTGATAACATAAAAGTGTATTTATTTTTTTAAAACAGTGAATCTTTTAACTGATATTGTGTTACTAATGCCAGACCAGGGCACTATGAAAAGAACACAAATGGAAACTAATGACATGTAAAATGAGATGTTTGAGAAGAATAATCAACATAACAAGAAGAGACCATAAAAGAAACGAAGCTGTCATTAGAATGATGGGAACAACTCCTGTAATTAAAACTATTGAAGAACAAAGATTACAATAATTTGGCCACCTGGTCAGAATAAACCTAGCGTCACGAGTTGCAAGAGCATGCAACATGAGAATGGAAACATCTAGAGGCAGAGGAAGGCCAAGAAAACATGGATAAATGTAGTTAACAACTTGCTGAACTCAGCAATATCACCATGCAGGAAGCTAACAAGCGGGCTCTGTCCTGGAGACTGATCTTCAGCCATGCCTGCAACGCCAACAGCATTAAGCAGAGAAAGACAATAAATAGACAGAGATAGAACTGGGAGCATTTTTTATTATTTATCATTGCGTACCAATCTTTGCAGACCCTTTTACTATGACATTGAAGAGGAAAGAGCATTTCGGATGAAGAAATGTTTGCAGTTCAACACAGAGATTAGCTTTGCATTTCTTGAAATGATGGTGAACCTCTTCAGGTTAGTAATGAAAAGTACAGATGAAATGTTAAGGACCTCTTTTTCCATCTGTTAAGAGTATATTAGGGCTATGTTAAGGCTATGAGATGTATTATTTAACCTCTCCCCCCCCCCCCATTTTTTGTTTAAAAACTGAAGGTTATTATTGTTTAAAAATTAAGATGCCAGTCGAATGCATTCCAATGTTTGTAACTAATATTTAATTGATTTTGATGATGTTTATATTATGCGACCTGTAAGACTTATATCATTTTTGGAATAGGCTTATTACAATACTCTTTAAAACGTTCAGTAATGTCAGTATAATTAGAGCACATTCCAGCATTTGTAATTAAGACTTAGATATTGTAAACTTTTTTCTTCTAATTCTTAAATTTAAAATTTTTAAAAATTCCTCTTGTTGTTATTATTATTATAATTATTAACTATGAAATGAGGTACAAATTAAAAATTGTATGCAAGGAGCGGAGTGGAAGGGCAGAATGTTAGATGGGCCTGTGTGCCCAATTCTCAACCCTTTAAAAGTAAAGTTTGTTTGTTTGTTCGTTCGTTTATTCTGATTGTGCCATTTGTGTTATTTTCACCAGTATTGCTGTCAGTGCTTTCACTGTCGCAATAACTAAAGTAAAGGACCCTTTTTTCACGCCATCAGGTGTATTGTGCATATAAGGCTAGAACTATATTTTATAGAGCAGTCGGTGATTTGGTCAGATCATGCCAGCCGCTGTTACTTCTCAGGAATTTACCTGGAATTCATTAAGGCTGGGTTGACCTGAGAGCCAAGATCATTTTTGAAGAAAAAAAAAAAAAAAAGCTTGGCTTTGTCAAGATCTGAACCCGCAACATTGTAATAAGTAAGTAAAGTAAAGTAAAGTTCCCTTTTCACGCCTTTCGGCGCATCGGGCATATGGGCAGAGAGTCCCATATTTTTACAGACCATCAGCACTCAGTGGGTAATGTGGTCAGCATTACGCCGGCTGTCTTTACTTTCCCAGGACAGCCCATCCTGGTACCCATTTTAGGCTAGGTCGACCTGCGACGTCCCATTTCACGACAAAAATCCACGCAGCCTGCAGTGGGTTTGGATCGCGGTATGCTGGCTTACGAGTCGGGCTCGCAACGCCTTAGCCACGGACGCCGCCATTGTAATAAGTAGGGCTTCATAATCAGCATCATCATCATCAGAATGACTATTATTAGTATTTCTGTAATTCAGTAATTCAGTATGACCATCATCAGTAATGAATATCCCTGGCATCAGTATTACTGCTGTCAGAACCAGTATCAATAATATCACTGTGATAAGTATTGCTATCATCAGTATCACTCCTGTTTGTCTCATTGCCGTCAGTATCACTGCTGTCTTTCTCACTGTCATTAGTATCACTGCTACATGTATCATTGCCATCAGTATGACTGCTATCTGTCTCACTGTCATTAGTATCACTGCTGCATGTATCATTGCCATCAGTATCACTGCTATCTGTCTCACTGTCATTAGTATCACTGCTGCATGTATCATTGCCATTAGTATCACTGCTGCATGTATCATTGCCATCAGCGTCACTGCTATCTGTTCCACTGTCATTAGTATCACTGCTACATGAATCATTGCCATCAGTATCACTGCTATCTGTCTCACTGTCATTAGTATCACTGCTGCATGTATCATTGCCATCAGTGTCACTGCTATCTGTCTCACTGTCATTAATATCATTGCTACATGTATCATTGCCATCAGTATCACTGCTATCTGTCTCACTGTCATTAGTATCACTGCTGCATGTATCATTGCCATCAGTGTCACTGCTATCTGTCTCACTGTCATTAATATCATTGCTACATGTATCATTGCCATCAGTATCACTGCTATCTGTTCCACTGTCATTAGTATCACTGCTGCATGTATCATTGCCATCAGTATCACTGCTATCTGTTCCACTGTCATTAGTATCACTGCTACATGAATCATTGCCATCTGTATCACTGCTATCTGTTCCACTGTCATTAGTATCACTGCTACATGAATCATTGCCATCAGTATCACTGCTATCTGTTCCACTGTCATTAGTATCACTGCTACATGTATCATTGCCATCAGTGTCACTGCTATCTGTCTCACTGTCATTAATATCATTGCTACATGTATCATTGCCATCAGTATCACTGCTATCTGTTCCACTGTCATTAGTATCACTGCTACATGAATCATTGCCATCAATGTCACTGCTATCTGTCTCACTGTCATTAGTATCATTGCTACATGTATCATTGCCATCAGTATCACTGCTATCTGTCCCACTGTCATTAGTATCACTGCTACATGAATCATTGCCATCAGTGTCACTGCTATCTGTCTCACTGTCATTAGTATCATTGCTGCATGTATAATTGCCATCAGTATCACTGCTATCTGTTCCACTGTCATTAGTATCATTGCTACATGTATCATTGCCATAAGAATGACTGCTGCCTCCAGTATCTGTATCAGTAGTTCATTGGTATCACTGTGATTAGTATTTTTATCAACATCAGTGTCATAGTACTGCAGAATAGACTTTGTTATTTACAATGCCATGTTTATCAGCTCACACTGGTTCCACTAATCTCTATTCCAGAGGAACATTATCATACCTGCGGATTGAACTTCGTCGATTTAATAAACAACTGTTTATGGAGAGCATTCCTGAATGTGATAAGCCTTTCTATGAGAAGGTAGGTGGAATGTATTACTTATTTTATGTTTCTTACAGTGACTGGTAGATGGAATGTATTACTTATTTGATGTTTCTTACAGCGACGGGTAGGTGGAATGTATTACTTATTTGATGTTTCTTACAGTGACTGATAGATGGAATCTATTACTTATTTGATGTTTCTCACAGTGATTGATAGATGGAATGTATTACTTATTTGATGTTTCTTACAGTGACTGACAAATGGAATGTATTACTTATTTTATGTTTCTCACAGTGACTGGTAGATGGAATGTATTACTTATTTGATGTTTCTTACAGCGACGGGTAGGTGGAATGTATTACTTATTTGATGTTTCTTACAGTGACTGATAGATGGAATCTATTACTTATTTGATGTTTCTTACAGTGACTGGTAAATGGAATGTATTACTTATTTGATGTTTCTTACAGTGACTGGTAGATGGAATGTATTACTTATTTGATGTTTCTTACAGCAGCTGGTAGGTGGAATGTATTACTTATTTTATGTTTCTTACAGTGACGGGTAAATGGAATGTATTACTTATTTGATGTTTCTTACAGCAGCTGGTAGGTGGAATGTATTACTTATTTTATGTTTCTTACAGTGACGGGTAAATGGAATGTATTACTTATTTGATGTTTCTTACAGCAGCTGGTAGGTGGAATGTATTACTTATTTTATGTTTCTTACAGTGACTGGTAGATGGATTGTATTACTTATTTAATGTTTCTTACAGTGACTGGTAGATGGAATCTATTACTAATTTGATGTTTCTTACAGTGACGGGTAAATGGAATGTATTACTTATTTGATGTTTCTCACAGTGACTGATAGATGGAATCTATTACTTATTTGATGCATCTTACAGTGACTGGTAAATGGAATGTATTACTTAATTGATGTTTCTCACAGTGACTGATAGATGAAATCTATGACTTATTTCATGTTTCTTACAGTGACTGGTAAATGGAATGTATTACTTATTTGATGTTTCTCACAGTGACTGATAGATGGAATGTATTACTTATTTGATGTTTCTCACAGTGACTGATAGATGGAATGTATTACTTATTTCATGTTTCTTACAGTGACTGATGGATGGAATGTATTACTTATTTGATGTTTCTTACAGTGATTGATAGATGGAATGTATTACTTATTTGATGTTTCTTACAGTGACTGACGGATGGAATGTATTACTTATTTGATGTTTCTCACAGTGACTGATAGATGGAATGTATTACTTATTTGATGTTTCTCACAGTGACTGATAGATGGAATGTATTACTTATTTGATGTTTCTCACAGTGACTGATAGATGGAATGTATTACTTATTTGATGTTTCTCACAGTGACTGATAGATGGAATGTATTACTTATTTGATGTTTCTCACAGTGACTGATAGATGGAATGTATTACTTATTTGATGTTTCTCACAGTGATTGATAGATGGAATGTATTACTTATTTGATGTTTCTTACAGTGACTGACAGATGGAATGTATTACTTATTTGATGTTTCTCACAGTGACTGATAGATGGAATGTATTACTTATTTGATGTTTCTCACAGTGACTGATAGATGGAATGTATTACTTATTTGATGTTTCTTACAGTGACTGGTAGATGGAATGTATTACTTATTTGAGGTTTCTTACAGTGACTGGTAGATGGAATGTATTACTTATTTGAGGTTTCTTACAGTGACTTGTAGATGGAATGTATTACTTATTTGATGTTTCTTACAGTGACTGGTAGATGGAATGTATTACGTTCACAGAGGTCTGCCTGTGCCTTGTTTTCTAGAAACTGTACCCTCCATCACCTCTGTCTCCAGGCCACCATGACATTTAACATGGCCAAAATACTCAGCTTTTAGGGACAGAATGCTGTTTATGAGCCAGTTCTACTTGATGCTCTGATCATGCAAAATGCTGTTTTTTCTTCATCTTGGTACATAGCATTCTAAGAATTTTTTTGTATCATTTCAACTCAAAAGCTCCAGTTTTTTTTTCTTTACTGTTTGAGCAAGAGTCCCTAACTCACATCGACAAGTTGCCACAGGAGAGGTGCATGATCTGAGAAGATGTCAGTACAAATTTGTAAAGGGTTTGACCTCTTTTTTTACCATGACTTCATGAAGTATCAGTAGCATTAGCTGCCTTGCTGCCTATATCTACCAGTATATGTTATGTGACAGTGTGGGACGTTGTCTAAGGCCACGTTGTAAGGGAAAAAAAGAATAGACACACTGTCCCCTAACTGGCATGTCGTAAAATTTGACTAATTAAGGGTGTTTCCTTTGAAGTGAGAGTACATCTGCCTGAGAGGTGAGGCATCAACAGTCTGCATTCGAATAGGTCAGATCTGTAAAATGGATGTACCCACCAAACTCAGGTTCATGATCAAGACTTAACTTCAGAAGTTGGTGAACAATCAGAACTTTCCACCAGAGTTTACAGCCAAGGAATGTGAATAATAATAATAATAATAATAATAATAATAATAATTATAATTATAATAATAATAAGCTATTATTTTTAGAATTAGTTGTACAGTATGTGTAGGAAAAACAAACAAAGCATGACTCAAACCTTAATAGCCAACACATTTATCCTTCAAAGAAACAGTATTTCCCTGTTATAAATTTGAATGCAGAATACCCCGGCAAAAGAAACAAGCCCAAAATCTAATGCACACAAAACACATTCTCAAACAAGATCAACATCTCAAAGCTGACGAATAAAAAGAACTTTCTGCCAGAGTTTACAGCTGGGAAATGCTAAGGAAAAACAAAAAAATTGAATTGAATTATGCTGTCTGTTTGCTTCTTCATTTTTCAAACATTTGTCTGTGCTTTGTTGTTGTCTAGGTACTGAGTACAGACATGTTCAAGCAGTTTTTAGAGGATCGATTGAATGAGAAGATTGATTATTGGTCAGACTATGAAAGCAGAACTCGACCTTATGCTAAACATACTGGGAACCTAGATTTGCTAATTCCTGGGCAGAGGTAAAACAGACAGTTGTCAAAATAAATTTTCCCTAAACCTTGTAGCATTAACTAGAGATATTCATTTAATGTTTCCTACATTCTGATAGTTACACATAAATGTTTGAAAAATGTATCATCATCATCATTTAGCAGGTCCTTTGCAGAAGTTGCTCTCATCAAAGGTGACCTGGTAGAAACTCAGCCTCTCGCCAGGTCTCTTGCCTCATGCACTCTCATATCCGGTGAGTCACTTATGTCCTGTGCCTATTTTCATGTTGGCCGGCTCCTGCCTCTCTTTCCTGGTGCCATGCCTTCTGCTATTATTTTTTTCAACCGTCATGGCACTTGATGTGGCCACAGTTACTTCCTTGATGTCTAGATCTTTCAGAATGTCAGTGTCTGTCCTTTTCTTTGTGCATGGTATGCTGAGAATCTTTCTGTAGCATTTTAGCTCAAAAGCTCATTTCTTCCTTAAGGACTAGGAGATATCCAGGGCTTACATCTGTATGTTGCAACAGGGAATCTTTGTCCCTGCTTGCTAACCATCACGTTTGCTGATCAGAAAGCTTTATATAAATTTACCAAGCAAGTATTGAAACATCCAAGCATGACTATGAGTGCAAAGAGACAGATTATAAACAGCATATTCATTCCAACATTAAGCAACTAATGCCAGATATGGACACCATCTTAAGCCCATGTACGCAAAATCACCACTTGTCAGATGAGATGCCTGAGAAAAGCCACCAACCTTAACATCTGAGTTCGAGTGAATAATGATACTATCAGATGGATTGTGGGAATGACTTCTTTTACTAGATTTATCAAGAAACAGCAGATCAAGTGGTTTGACTATCACATTAGAATGCAGCAAGATCAGATACCACCACAGGCACTACTTCTAGATAGATCAGCTACAAGATCAAAAGGACAGCCACAGAAAACATGGATTGATAACATTAAAGACATTCTACGCCTGCATGGCTTGACATAGCCAGTGGCAGCCAGTGTGCACTGGATCGCAAATTGTTCCTTCCCACGACGCTTAACGGGCAGAAGTGGTTTGTGATGATGGTGATGACCAAGCGACTGGCCAAAATATTTGACTTAATTTGTGTGACTTCCGTCACCTTTATTTCATTCCAGTGTCTCTAAGTCTTGTGTACTTCTTTTTATTTCTGTCAAATGTATGTTATTTTTGTGTATACAAGATTTATCCAGGGTCTCGGTTTGGCATTTTACTTTCTTAGTTTTTCATTGACCATGCACTAGTGGTGAGCAAACATAACAGGAGTATGACTACTCATATTTGAAACGTCTTTTTAAAAAATCTGTATAGAAGGGTAAAGAATGCCCTTGCCATCTTTAAAGAAGATAAAATCGAGAAGAATAATCAATGGTTGCACACTAAGAAAACAATATATCCACCATGTTAATGACATAATGTTATTAAGATTGTCTAATTATTCATAGTACAGTTTCTATCGTAATCACATCCCGGATCAAAGCGAAATGTGAAACAATACAAATTATGTCTTAGTCACATCAAAAAATTACATGATATATAAATTTAAAAAGTACACATAAATACTCTGAGAACTCAGTCAACACTATATATCCCAATTTTAACCCTCAGGATTAAAATTGATATTTAAAAAAAAGTTACTCTACTACTACTGTATAGATGTATGTCCTGGGGAATTAAAGACAGCCGGCATAATGCTGATCACATTACCCACCTAATGTCGATTGGTCTGGAAAAATATGGGTGCTCTTCCTGTATACGTGATGCACCTAAGGCGTGAAAAGGATCTTTACTAACTACTGTATAGATACTACTATTTTTTGAAAGCAGGATATACAAAAACAATGCTATTATTTTATGTTTTGTTATATTTTGCACTGAACAATTTTCCTCATGATCTTGAATTAAATTTTCCTAATCGATCTTACTACAGACATCAGAAAAAGCCAGACCGGAGACAGATGTCTGTAACTACATTTTCTACCTTGGCCCCAAGGGTTTTTGAAGTCTTCCGATTGCCTGGTCTAAATGATTCAGTTACCTACATAAAAAATGCCATCCTGATGCTTAACAAGACTATAGAGGTATAGCAGCATTTTTGACTTTTCACCCATTGAGTCACTTTTGTTTGTCATCGTCATCCCATTGTACCATTATATGTCACATAGGGCTTGCAGTCTAGTCTTTCCTTTCATTTCAGATGACTTTGGTTATTTTTCTTCTTCTTCTTTTGCTTGGCATTCACTGTAAACTCTAGCTGAAAGTTCTGGTTGTTCATCTGCCTCTTGACTGTGGTCTTGTTCAGGACTTGGGTTTTACGTGCATACCCATTTTACAGATCTGGCTTATTTGAATGCAGACTGTTAGTTCCTCACCTCTAGGGCAGATGCACTCTGACTTCAAACGATACACCCCTAATTAGTCACCTTTACGACATGCTTGTTGGTGGCGAGGCAGTGGGTCTATCCCCCCACCCCTTCCAACCAAACAAAAAAACCACATTGAAAATTATTCCTTTTGACTTAATGAGTCACTTTTTTTTTTATTTCTGTTTTTTAACTTTTACTTGTCTTTACTTGGTCCAGTTTTTACTTAGCTTCTGTTTGGTTTTGTATTTAATCAGTTATATTGTACACGATATTCTCCACCAACCCCCCCCAAATGTGCTTTGAACAAGAACGCACGATCAGATAACTATATTTGTGTGTTTTTTGTTTTCGCAAAAACACACTATCAAATGAGTTTGCTCCCTGGTGGAGCCAGACTTTTTTCAGAAATGACCTTGACTCCCAGGTCGATCCTGCCTTGAGTGGGTACCATGTGCAGTCCAAGGTAGTAAAGGCGGCCGGCGTGATGCTGACCACATCACCCGTCTTGTACCGATTGCTCTATAAAATATAGGTCTAGCCCTATATGCCCTATACGCCTAAAGGCGTGGAAAAGGGACCTTTACTTCACTTTTTATTTACACACTATCAGATAATTACATGTTTCATTTTTGTTTTTCAAACAAGACCACACCATCAGATAACCATGTGTGTCATTTTTTTAACAAGAGTGCATCATCAGAAAACTGCGTGTTTACTTTTTTAAAAACAATATAATTCTTACCAATACTATGAGTGTATTTCTCATTTTAACACCTAGATGACATTCTTGTGTTGCAGGAATGCAGAAACCTCTACTACAGATCTTCCTACATCTACTTGAGAGGCATGTTTCATGCAGCCGAAGATAATGTTGAGAGCGCACTGGATGATCTGCTGAGTTTACATACTCACAATGCCAGACTGTTGCCCATAAGGTTAGGTTCTACTCTTCGCCCTTCTCTCTCATTCTGTTTAGTCCTTTCCTCCTTATAATCCTTTATCATCTCATGAATTTGCATTGCTCTTTGTTGAATACAGTATGATTCTGTTTCTTTCTATGGTGATGTTCTTACTTCTGTTCACATTATTAACAAATTTCCCTTTAGATATAACTCCATACTGTTCTTCCATGGATAACCACATAGTATTGTACATTGGATTTGCTTAGTGTATGTTTTATATGTGGATCAGTATGATGAATATGCTAGCTTGTTGGTCTAGAAAACATAAATTATTGATAGGTCTTGAAACCTTAGTTAGCTAGTTGATTAAATGTGCTTCATGCTTTTGGAAACTGTCTTATTATTTTAAACTTTTAACTTGTTGATGCTAAAAAAAAAAAAAAGATTACTGCCTATACTAGGCTGAGACAGTCATCATCATTTTAGGGTTAGGTTCAACTAGAGGGCTTAGAGTGTTGTGATGGCAACAAGTGATCACTCGTTTAGAGTCAGATATCAACAAGGGAAGAAAATGATGGATGGATTAACAAATTGTCATGATCAGTGATTGAACATACTAAAAACATAGAGGATATCTGCATTTTGAACCAATGCCTTTGTGTGTGTACGTGCATGCGCTTGAAGCACTGATTCATTAATTTTTCTGTTCATTGATGGACTTATCAGCATTTTCCACAGAAACATTCTGTCTGCTACCAGTAAATGTTTCTCAGTTTGTCTGCTTATTGTTAATCTTTCACATGCATACAACAGTATAGACTGTACCTAGCACTGATTTTAGACTATTGCTAAAGTCAATCATTTGACTTCTAACAAGATTATTACAAGACAGTGTCCCATAAAGTTAAATGATTAAAACATAAACTTTCTAAAATGTGAAACCTTACATAATATTATAGGTAACGGGTAACATCATAGGTTCATATGCATGGCTCATTTGCTCTTTTAGTACCAAATAATGTCCACAGCAGACACCCAACTGTGAGGGGGGAAAAAAAAAACACCATTAGAAATCAAGACTGTATGACTTTCAAAGAGATGTAGGTGCAAGTAGCCACTAGAATAGCCAGATTTATTTTAGTATGTTCAGACCACATGTAACAATTTTAGGAGCATATTACCTGATTGTTGGGATTCACAGATAAGACAAAGATATACTTCACCTATATCTTTGGACTGAAAAAGTGAATATTTGAAAATATGTATGCTTAAACATGATGACACATTTTCCAGGTTGGTCTGCAAGCTTCTTCAGTCATTTCCAGAAGATGAAAGAGAGGAGCTGTTGAGAAGGAAGGGAACAACTCACCTCATCGAGTTGGTTCACGACTTGGAGCATGAGAGAATCACTCCTGGCAGGAGAATCATGGATAACATCTCCATACCTGACTGTGATCTTAGTAAGTAAGCTTTCCTTTCTTGGAGTAATTTTATTTTGTCTGTCTCTCTTTAATGTTTGTCCTCCATGCATGCATTTGCCGCTTTTTAAGGCAGTGCAGGTCATCTACAAAGCTGATAAATGATGTTGAAGAACACAGATTGTAGAGAGGTATGATCGCCTACACCAGTCAGCAAGGCACTTAATGATGATTATGAGATCATGGAAGTTATTGAGCCTTAGGGCCACAAGGCTGGTAAGTAAAGTAAAGGACCCTTTTCCACACCTTCAGGTATATAGGGCCGTACATGGCTAGTGCAGTCACCATAAACTTCAGTTTATGGTTTTTAATGTTTGCCCCAGACCCCCCAAAAATTTCCATCAGCTTACTAGTTTCAGGTGGGTTCTAACTGCTTGGCCACTCTCTTCTTATTTCATTCTGAAATCAGCTGGGGAAAAAAAGGAGGGTGAAGATTAGCTTCATTGCACTAGGGTTTATATCTCATCTGGGTTACTCTTGATGCAGAGTGGCTGGCCATTTCTGAGAGTGTCACACAAAGCACAAACTTGAAATTTCCAGCATTGACCTCCAGGTGTCCGAAATAAAATTACACTTGTGAGCCGAGCCGAGTACAGATTGTTTACTTTCTAGCCTTTTCACTTAAATAACAGGTCTGTGTTGTTTCTGGCACCTTCCCAGATGATAATGTTATATTGTGCTAGGGCGACGCATAAGAGTCACAACCCATAGGGATGGCTAGTGTGATTAGCAGGACCCACTCACGTTAAGAAAAGTCTTCCACAATTAGAGCATGGGATTTTAAGACTGTTGTTGCCAAATTGACTAAGATTTTACTGAGAATAATAATGCGAAGAATAAGAAACAAAATTAAACCAGAAATCAGCGATGAACAATGTGGATTTGTAGAAGGAAAAGGTACAAACAATGCCATATACATCCTAAGGACATTGTCAGAAAAAGCTATAGAATTAAAGACTGATTTGTACATATGCTTCATAGACTATACAAAAGCATTTGACTGTGTGAAGCATGAAGAAGTAATCAGACTGTTAGAAAAATTAAACATTGATGGGAAAGATCTATGAATAATAAAGAATATGTATTGGCAGCAAGCAGCAGCTATAAGAATTAACAACTGTTTAGGTACATTTCAAAGCATAAAGATGGGCGTACGACAAGAATGTGTACTGTCACCTGATTTGTTTTCAATATACAGTGAATATATAATGAGAGCTTTAATTGGTATGCCCGGAATTGTGGTTGGTGGGCACAATATAAACAATTTAAGTTATGCTGATGACATAGTCTTGATAGCAACAAGTCAGAAAGAACTACAGGAAATGATAGACATTGTGGTGTTAGAAAGTGGAAGAATGGGCCTCAGTTTGAATAATGGGAAGACAGAAGTAATGGTGGTATCAAAGAAACGAATTATTCCTGAGTGTGTAATAAAAGTTGATGGTGTTATTTTAGCTCAAGTACAGAAATGTAAGTATCTGGGCACATGGATAACATCAGATGGAAGATGCATAACTGAGATAAGAAATAGAATAGGACAGGCAAAAACTGCATTTTATAAAATGAAAAACATCTTGTGCAATATATCCTTGTCATTGAGAGTTAGAAAAAGAATTCTTGCTTGCTACATACATCCAGTTTTAACATATGGCTGTGAATCCTGGACAATCGGTAGGCAGGCCAAACAATTTCTGGAGGCCTCGGAGATGTGGTTTTACAGAAGAATGCTTAGAATACCTTGGACAGCCAAAAAGAGCAACAAAGAGGTTTTGAAAGAGGCGGGGGCCCGAAGACATCTTATCACAGACATCAGAAGGAGACAGTCATCATTTTTCGGCCATGTTAGGAGAAGAGGGAAAATAGAACATGTTGTGACCACTGGAAAGATATATGGAAGGAGAGATAGAGGAAGACAACCAGAGAAGATGCTTGACAGTCTTGTTGCATGGCATGGAGGTGTGTCGGCACACGAACTGATACATGCTGCAGGAGATCGCAGATTATGGAGAGGCATGATCGCCCACACCAGTCGGCAAGGCACATGATGATGATGTTGCCAAATTGTATTGTGCTTCCTCTCAGCTTCAACATCTCAACTGTTCTGCAATAATTGTTTCCTTTATCCCCATTCCATTTCTGATTTTGGCATTTTGTTTCCATAAATCTACATCAATATACGTTTCAGTCATGTCTTGTTTGCACAGATTTTTATATTATAGTAGAGGCAGACCTGGATATCTTCTACCCATATGTAATTCACCAGAGAGAATGTCCTTAAGGACTCTACTATCTACCCCCCCCCCCCCCCCCCCACACACACACACACACAGACACACACATACACACACCAACCATTTTCTCCAAAAAGCATGTCATAAAAGGGGTCTAATTAGTGATTTGCTGAAATCGATTGAGGCCAAATGACGCAAATATTGCTGCCTAGCTGAACAGTAGCACAGTGTTCCAGCTACATTTTAAGGTTGAACACAGGAGAAGAAGAAGAAGAATAACTGTATGCTAGAAGCATTATACCTGTATAGCATCACTTGGTTTCATTGAACTGTAATTATTTTCTTAGATCTTGAGGACTTTGTTGAAACTGTCTCTCTTCTGGACATGGCCACAGATTATGATACCATTCAAAGACTGTTTCTAGCCCTGTGTCAGCCTCATAGACCAACACGTGAGTGTTATTTTCCTAATACTTTCAGTACTTGACAGTTTTAACTTAACTTGTTCTTAACAAATCAACAGTTACCTTAAACTAGTAACACTCTTATTAAAGGAGTTGAAAATACAGGGTCTCTTAGATTTATGACTGAGTTCTGTTCTGGGTCGTAAGTCAAACTGATTTGTAAGTCAAATTTATAATTCAGACACTCTTTTTAAATCAGACCAGTGATAGAAATTGTATATAAAACAAACAAATTCAATCTGTGTACATATAATTACACTCTACGATGCTCTAGGCAGCAGTTTCAGGAACTTTTTACCCTACCAATGTAGTTATCTTTCTTTATATACTTTTTTTATTTACTTATTTTTCTGGTCATAAGTGTGGATGGTCATAAGTCGCATAGGCTGTGAATTGAGGAGAATGTGTATTGAGCAGAATGAGTTAAAATAATATTGGAAAAAGTAAGAGAGCACATCATGCTATGGGGGGAATAATGAGGTAGATTCATTAACACATGGGGATTTCTTAGGACCGAAGGAGTTAATTAAGCATTTAAGGAAGGTGCTCAGAGTGCTTGCTTGCTAAGATGATGGACCATATTAGCAGCCATAAGATTATTTGTTTAGGTAAACCTAGTCTCATCAGATAGGTGCCAAATAATTTTCAGAAATTTAAAGAAATTTCCTAGGAAGAAAAAGTGTTTGGAAGGGGTACCAGTTGTACCATCTCATTATGTTGTAACCTAGAATAGGAATCATCTCCAGAACTACAGTGTTCATGCTTGATGAGACATTCTCAGCAAGCTGTTCTGCGGAGAGAGACCGAGCCATGAGGTATAAGACCCGATGCGGTGAAGTCAGGCCTCTTGACTTTAATCTATTATGTGGTGGCATAGAATATAGGAACACCTAAGACTTCACAGAGAAAAGAAAATCACCAGTCATGCTAAGAAACAAATTGATTAAGGTAGCAAGGATGTCAAGAAGAAACCTTATAATAAACGTTAGTGTGAGAGGACAAAGATTCTGGATCGGACTCCATCTGTGATATTGAAACAGTTTCACAGAATAGAACAGAGTGGAATAACAGACTGCAAACCCTATGTGACTTATAATGTACAGAAAGGTGATGATGATAATGATAAGACTTCTCACTCCAGAGTCAGAATGGGGGAACTACATGGTCTCGAGGCATCGTGTCCGCCTCGAGTGCTAGAGTTCAATCCCGGGGCTTGGATTTTTTCACGTAGAATTGGACTTCTAGTAATTCCTTCTGGTCTCTGGGTAGTGAGATCGGACGCCCGTGTGCATTGTTGCGCACGCAAACAAATTCCTTGGCAGTTGGAAATCGAAAAGAGTAGCCTAACGGCACTGCCCTGGCAAATTTTTAGTTAAAAATCTACTCAAAATGTTTTAGGATCCTCTCCGGTGCTACAGAGCCTGTGCTGAGCTTCTTTGGCCTCAGACTCAAGTTAGAAGAAGAACGGAGCACTACCTGTGTGCCATGATGTTGATCCATTGTTCAAAACCTGAAACTTCAAACTCCAAAACCAGACTGTGTCCTGGCACTACTCTTACCTATTTGTTTATAAGTATTTTACAATGTGTAAAAACAGTGTAAACTTTTTTGATTACTTTCAGATGTAGAGAAATATACTTTTGATGTTCTGAGGTTGTCATATGAAGAGAATCAGACTCAGTGTAAGGCTTTGACATTGTCTGATGGCTGCTTACAGGTCAGTATTGATTTCTTGCCCTGATGTAAAACCATTGTTAAAGTATGGGTTTTCTTGTGTTTTAAAGTATGGGTTTTCTTGTGTTTTAAAGTATGGGTTTTCATGTGTTTTCAAGTATGGGTTTTCATGTGTTTTCAAGTATGGGTTTTCTTGTGTGGAAAACAGAATGCATCCCTTGCACAGCTACACATAATCATATACTCTTATACATACCTCTACACACACACACACACACACACACACACACACACACACACACACACACACACACAAAAGTACTCGCACACACACAATCAGTACCAGTCATCTGCTGTGGTGTAGAGTCTAGATGCCCACGTGCTGCACAGAAGGTCGTAGGTTCATGTCCTGACAGAACTGGACTTTTAAAAAAAGCCATGGCTCTCAGGTCAGCTCAGCCTTAAATGGGTACTGGGTAAAGTGCTAGAAAGTAAAGGCGGCCAACATGATGTTGACCCACTGAGTGCCCGATTGGTCTATAAAATGTAGGTCTAGCCTAATATGCCTAAAGGCCTGAAAATGGGTCTTTTACTTTTAACCTTCACTTTACATTCAGAACCAAGCAGTGCAACATGTGTTTACTGGTATATCTCTAAATAATGCTGTTCTTAACTCCTAGTGTGACATTATTCCAGCTTTTTGCTGTTACCTGTTGGTATTGTAATTTTTTTTAAAAATTTAACAGAACTTTTAGTGGAACCCCTTAAGCCATGGAGTTATTAGTTTAGAGCAGCGATTTTCAACATAATTCAGGTGATACACTGCTTGAATATATGGAAAGGACCACCAAACAAGTGATGTGTCACTATTCATCAAGCAGTCTTTTATTAGTTAGTTAGTTAGTTGGGTTATCCTCATTGCACTCCGGACATGTCCATAGGTGCTCAGATCCTCCCCTCAGTATGAACCCCAACGTCCGATGGCTAATAGTACCAGTTCTATGTTAATTAACAAGTCTTCTGGCGTAACTGGTGTGCGTCTCGTTTTTTGCTGTGCCGATCTTAATTCCAAAGTCTGCCATTCTGGCGAGTGATGTGGATTCACTGCCACCAAAGTCGTCTATCCTTCCCATTTCTCTGAGGGCATTGATAACATCAGCATGATCCATAGGCTGACCGTCGGTAGTGATAGCGGATCCAGCCAACCTGTCAGCTCTTTCATTTCCATCGACGCCTGCGTGTCCCGGAACAAAAATAAAGGTGACTCCACGGACAGTGGACTTCTGTAATGATTCAAGCCATTGTCTTCGCACTGAACCTGCCTGAACCCTCCGGATCATACTCATTGAATCACTGAGTATACACACGCGGGTGTATTTTTGTGTTTCAAGCCAGGCAAGCGCTTGTGTCACTGCCATCACCTCCATCGTCATGCTGCTGGTTGTCATGGAGAAGGCGCCGTTGGCTTCTTTGACTGTTCTGCCCGCTGAGCGTGCTGTAAATGCCCATGCGCTTCTTCTTTGGCGTATAACGGATCCGTCTGTATAGATTATTGCATCTGCTTCGTCTGAATTTTCACCGATGAGAGCGTTGACCTCTGCATTAACAGCAACAGGATTCTCTTCTCTACATCGCCTGTTGAGTGTGACAATACAGGAAAATGTACAAATAAACGCCTGAGGCACAGGTATCCATTTTGCACCAGGTATGATGTCGGTTAGGCTGCATATTTGCCTAATAACATCTTCTGCCCGACCTAGCCACGATTTCCCCCTCTTCAGTCTGTCGCCCTTTTCACTAAAAAGCGCTTGATGCAGTGGGTGTTTCTTATCAGCACATATTTTGAGATATGCCCGAGCCCTCCACATCCTGATCCTTTGGTTCATTGTTGGAAAGTCAAGTAGATACCTCATTGCTCCACAGGATGTGTCTCTAGTACATCCCAAAATAATGCGCATGGCTTCATTTTGCACCTTTTCGAGTCGTTCAATCTGGGTAGCACTGACAGTGAGGATGGCCAGAGCGTATTCAATGGGGGAAAGGACCAGACCGTAGAATAGAAGTATTAGTAGTCTTTGCTCAATGTTGGAAGCAGCCATAATCCTCATTGCAGATAGACCTTTGCGTGCTTTTGTTATCACATGGTCAACGTGTTCCCTGAATGACAAGCTGCGATCGAACCTCACCCCGAGAAACGTCATAACGTTGGTTCTGATCAATACATTATCACGCATTTTCACTTCTGGTAAGTCCGACTTGACAATGTGATTGTTCAAAGAGAACCATGACACTGATGCCTTCGAAGGATTGACATAGGCATTGGAACCATCACACCAGGCGGCAATTCGATCGAGTTCTTTGTGCATAGTGCTGGCGATCTCCTGTCTATCACGCCCTCGTCGATAAATCAAAATGTCATCAGCAAATGACAAAGTCCTCCCCTTTCCTTTCAACTGCTGCTCAGTGATCATCACCGTATAAACGTTGAATAAGACTGGTGATAGCGGTGATCCCTGTGGCAAGCCTGGACATATCGTTTGCGGTTCTGAGGACCAGCTACCACATCTTAGTACAATCTTTCTCTGGAACAGGACCGCAGCAATCCAGCGGATCAGAATAGGATTAACTTCTAGTCTAAGCAGTAATTGCATTAAATAATCGTATGGTACTTTATTGTAGGCATCTTCTAAGTCCAACACTGCCGCACATGTCTCTTCTTTAATCTGAAATCCCTCATACACATCGTAGGCGAAAACTGCAGCATTGAACCATGTCTCTTTATTTAACCTGTACCCTCCAAGTGTTGGTGGGAACTTTTCATGTAGTTCCAAGTAGGTGGTCAATCTTTGTGCGACAATTTTTTCCAAAAGTTTGCCAACAGTATTCTGCATCGAGATGATTCTGTAGCCGCAGATCTTCGAGTGGTCTTTATTAGGCTTTGGTAGTGGGAACGAATAACTATGGAGCCATTCCTCTTTTATATCATACTGAATGTCGTCTGAGTCCAGGGGTTTCATTGGTAAAGTCATTTGTTATGTCTTCTGACAGTAATGAGTCAGTTTCAGTCTCTGCCTTTTGGTCATGATTTTATGTTTAGAAATTCCTAGAGCTTTGGAATTTGTTATAGTCGTTGGTTAAGTGCTAGAAAGGAAATCAAAGGTAAAATTTTTAGAGCATACATCTTCCCTGTAGCAACTTATGGATGGATGTGAGTCGTGGACTATCTCCCAGTTCTTAGGGGAAGAAAATAGGGGCTTTTGAGCTGAAATGCTATAGAAAAATTCTCAGAATTCCATGGACTAAGCAGAATACTGACATTCTAAAAGATCTGAACATCAAGGAAAATTGACTAATAAACAGCATCTTGTCTCAAAAGTTGAAATATTTTGGCCATAACAAGTGCCATGGCTGATTGGAAACAATAGAAGAAGGCATGGTACCAAGATCAGGGCAGGGGCTGACCAATACAAATACGGGCACAGGATATAAGTGACCTCTTGGATATCAAAGTGCACAAGGCTGGAGAGCTGTTGAAAGACAGAGGTTCTTGCAGGCAGATCATGATGAGAGTGATGTTCTGCAAAGCACTTGCTACACATGATGATGATGGTGATGAAGGAATTCCTACTTTGAATGGTGGCCAGCTGTTTATATAGAAAGTGGTTCTCAACCTTCCTAATGCAGCTACCTTTTAATACAGTTCCCTCATGTTATGGCGACCCTTTAATACAGTTCCCTCATGTTGTGGCGACCCTTTAATACAGTTTCCTCATGTTGTGGCGACCCTTTAATACAGTTCCCTCGTGTTGTGGCGACCCTTTAATGCAGTTCCCTCATGTTGTGGCGACCCTTTAATACAGTTCCCTCATGTTGTGGCGACCCTTTAATACAGTTCCCTCATGTTGTGGCGACCCTTTTATACAGTTCCCTCATGTTGTGGCGACCCTTTAATACAGTTCCCTCATGTTGTGGCGACCCTTTAACCCTTTCGCTGCTATGGACGTCTTTTCCCGATTTCCCGTACGCTGCTACGCCCGTCTTTGGACGTTATTTTTTTTCTTGACCCCCAGTGCTATGGACGTCCTAAGCCGTTTTTGGACTTTTCTTACAGATTTCTGTTACCTCGTATTTTATTGACTGAAGGGCAATATACATTAGCTATATTTAGATAAAACTGACCCATTTACATATGATTAAAAGCACTTGCACGTACTTTAAGGCGTGTTTAAGGTGTGTTTACTGCATTTTGCGTTATCCCGTTGCTTTGTTTACCGTGACAGCGTGGTCGGTGATCTGTGTATTTTGTGCCCTGATATATATTTGTGCTTTTACATTATTCTACACTTAGTACAAAATGGCAAGAAAACTTGTTAAAGTTGATGAAGAATTGATAGAGTTTCTGTCAAAAGTGATAGCGACGATGACTTTGAAATGTGTACTTCTGACAGTGAACAAGAAGATTTGACTAGGCCATCAGTATCGACTGCTGAAACCGGCGTGTCCAAAAAAAGCTGTTTGCCTGTCCGACGTCCTCATGTCGGAATCAGAGAGCAGCGACAATGACGCGCCATCAAAACGGCAATAAATTGATCAGTTATCTTGATGAACCGATGATTTGAAACCAGTAGTGCATGATTTTGATGACTCCAGCTCTATCTATATTTCTGCTACTGTAAATTCAAACAGTTAAGTCACTAAAATTTCTCGTCTTTCCCGATGGACAGACACAGATTCGGACGAACTAATTTTTTTTCTGTCTCTCTGCTAATGCTTAGAACAAAGAAACTCAAAATAGAGTACTTGAGCAAAGACTGTTTGCTAAAAACTCCCGTAAAATAATGTCGAGGGACATATTTTTACTATTGTTGAGAATCTCAAACATTTCTTAGACAACAGTGCTCATGCAGGCGGCGATAGACTACAAACTTAGACACATTATTGATAGTCTGCGCACATCATTCATTATGATCATTTACACAGCGTAATGCATCAGGCGGTTGCATAGTGTAATTGGTATCACGTTCGCCTTAGAATCGGAGGGTCGTGTGTTCAACCCCCGAAATTTTTTTTTTTAAAAATTAATTTTAAATTTTCCTTTGAGTTCCTGTTACTTTTCAGCAACGGACGACTTGAGTATTATTTTGATTATTTTTTTTTTATTATTATTTTGGTATTTAATAACATGGTGACTATAAGTAAATATGATTAAAGTGGCAGCCGTGGTAGGTTCGTCAATCAAATTTTGGGATACAGACTGGGAACAGTTCCTCCCATTAATTCCCCCCACCCCGAAGGGTGATAGCTCCGTTAGTCAAGTTTGTGGGGCACCATCGTGCCTCTGACTTGTCACCACTCGAACCAACCCCACAACACCCCAGGGTAAAATTTTTTAGGTGTACAAAACATAGCCCTCACCGCGGACGCATCTTTTGCGTTTAGAGGATAGAAAAGTATTGCGCACAGCAGAGACTTTTTTTTTCACATTGCTTAGCACAGGGAGGACAACTATTTCCGGGAACGTAGCAGCGAAAGGGTTAATACAGTTCCCTCATGTTGTGGCGACCCCCCAACCATAAAATTATTTTTGTTGCTACTTCATGACTTCAGTGAATAGGTTTTTTAGTTGTCTTAGGTGACCCCTGTAAAAGGGTAATTTGACCCACAAAAGGGTCACGACCCTAAGTAAAGATATAAAGAGACCAAGCTGGGTGCATATAGCTTGATTTAAGAAATCTGTGCTGCCATTCGAATCACCATGCCCAATAAAGTAACGATGATGATGATGATGCCTAAAGCAGCTTGTCAACTGAATCTGTCAAATAATACACCAGCATTGCTTATATTATTTAATCCAGGTCAATGAAGTCATCCTCAGAGTTTCCAGCCTCATCAAGACAGACTTTGGCATGGGAAGAATTGTGCTTACAGACAAGAGGTAAAATTGTATACCATCAGTATTGGAACTCTGTGTTGGCTGCTGAAGATGAGGATGGAGCATGCATGGGAATGCCCCAAGTGCTGTGATGTCAATTATTGACTCAACTCATTTTGAATGTTGAATTAAGAATCAACACAACAGCCCTCTGGACACTCCCATATTTTTATTTTAAAAGTACACTATACAAAATTTGTGATGTATTCTTCACAGCTGTTGCAGAACCAACCCTATTGTTCCCCCAGACAATAGCTAGAATTTTATACTTTTAACGTACAGTATGCTCAAATTAAAAATTTTCTTTTCTCACAGACAAGAGTTACAATTTTTTGAAAGGACAATATTCACACATTTAGTCAGATTTTGACATGAGGAACATTGTTCTCACTGACAAAACACTAAGCCACAAAGCCATAACCATATTTATATAATCATAAACAAGTGATTATATAAAACAAAATAAAGATATGTTGGCATACTTTGCTGCATCTGTTGAGGTACATTACTACAGGGTTACCTAGACATATAAGAAGCACAGAAAGTGAACCCCTTTCACCAGTGCATAAAAATCACACAATGTCTGTATTCACACTACATATCTCACCAAACAAAATTCAAGATACGACTTCTTCTCTTTGTCCCCCAATGGAACATAGGCTCTCAACCAACTCATGCCAAGTCATCCTGCTTGCTATCACATGCACCTCATCCCATGTCCTCTCTATTTTTTTAACCTTATTCTCTAGCTCCCTACTCCAGATGTATTTTCCCCTGGGAAATTCAACATTAGCCATGTGATAATAATGCAACTGATTTAGTTAGTTAGTTAGTTAGTTGGGTTATCATCAATGCACTACGGACATGTCCATAGGTGCTCAGATCCTCCCTTGAGTATAATCCCCAACGTCTGATGGCTAATAGTACCAGTTCTATGTTGATTAACAAGTCTTCTGGCATGTCTGGTGTGCGTCTCGTTTTTTGCTGTGCTGATCTTAATTCCGAAGTCTGCCATTCTGGCGAGTGATGTGGATTCACTGCCACCAAAGTCCTCTATCCTTCCCATTTCTCTGAGGGCATTGATAATATCAGCGTGATCCATAGGCTCACCGTCGGTAGTGATAGCGGATCCAGCCAACCTGTCAGCTCTTTTATTTCCATCAACGCCATGCTTGTCCCGGAACAAAAATAAAGGTGACCTGATGTGGTACAGTAAAATACACCAGTTACCAAATTGTCAAATGTATTTCTGTCTACATTATTTAAATTTACAATCGAAAACATTCTTTTGAATAACATGTGAGATTTTGTTTTCTTTTCACTCCCCAGATTGTTTTTCATAAAAGATGTCAGCAACACGTACAGGGAAATAGTGAAGCTAAGATATATTGCCAAACTGGAGAAGGTTCAGTACCACTCGTTCTTGATGGCCGTAGATGCACTAGTCATCACAGATTTGGGTGAGAGAGCCCTTTTCTTATGTTTAAATACTGACTACGAAACTGCCTTCCCCATTTCTCCCTCCCTTCCGTCCCTCTCCACCTCCTACCAGAAAAAAATCCTGCCACTTACATAATGTATTTACCCATTTGTGGTGTAGGCGGGAGTGCGTGGGTATTTTATCCTGAGGATTTAGTGCAGCACAGCTAATGCTGCCACCATGGACTGTGCAGATTATGATTTTGTTGTTTTTTTACTGACAAGAAAAACTCCACAGCCTTACCGGCGATTTGAACCTTGGTCACATGTGTGAGAGCCTAGCATCAGTCATTTGGCCTGCAGCTAAATATTGACATCAGCCTAAAATGGGTACCAGGAAAATGTCCTGGGAGGTAAAAGTAGCCGATTGGCCAATCATGGACTGCCAGTTGATTTATAAGGATATGGGTCTGGCACATGTGGCATACAAAAGAACCTTTACTGACTGACTTTCAAATAATTCTTTAATATCAGTATATCTCACGTCTCTTGTAACATCTGTTTGTTTGTTTGTTTTAGTATCCAGAAGCCATGAGTTGTTAACCCTTAGGCTCTATATTATGGATATCGCAACCTTTCAGCCTTGATTCCATTGTAAATACCATAAATCTGGGAGAAATGTGGCTTTTCTGCCTACCCCTGGGAGTGAACCCGGACCACAAGGAGTTCATCACCTGGTCACCGCGCAATCCGGTTTAGCCAACTACGCTAGAGGGCCGGGCCTTGTAACATCTAATACAAATCAATTACTCCCTGTGATGAGGGCTGTTTACGATAGATCTGCAACATGCTCTGTTGTGTTTTTTGGCTTTTTACTTTCTCACAATTTTGTTCATCCATCTCTTAATTAACTGTTTCAGACCCATGAATTTTGACAGACTTGGCTCACATTACTTTCCCTTTACAAAAATGGCAGATGGTTGGTGTTAAAAATAAAAATAAAAGGCAATTGAGAATGTAATATATTTACAATCCCTATAAAAGTATATATATATTTTTGAAAAGGGAATAAATGTGCATTTTGAATCTAATGATGTATATTTTTTAAAATACTGTTATAGTTATTAGGAAAAGTACTGCCTCTTGCTCCTCTGCCTTAGATTTTCCCCTCCAGTATGGCTTTTGTAAGATTGTCTTCTAACATGGCTGAAATATTCTACTTGTCTCTGTTTTATTTCTGTCAGCAAAATTTTTATTTTCATTCTTTATCTTTTCAGAACTGTTGTATGTGATTATTTTTTTGCTCTTGAAATGCAATCTCTTCTTATGTTTGTCTACATCTCCAAAGACCCTGTACAATTTTCAGATTGCTTGTTCATTGTCTAAATTTTAATATACATAATATTTTCCAAGTTCTCATTTCTAGTGTGTTGTTTCTCTCTCCCTCTGTCTGTCTGTCTGTCTGTCTGTCTGTCTGTCTGTCTGTCTGTCTGTCTGTCTGTCTGTCTGTCTGTCTGTCTGTCTGTCTGTCTGTCTGTCTGTCTGTCTGTCTGTCTGTCTGTCTGTCTGTCTGTCTGTCTGTCTGTCTGTCTGTCTGTCTGTCTGTCTGTCTGTCTGTCTGTCTGTACATTTGTCTGTATTTCTGTCTCTGTCTCTGTCTCTCTCTCTCTCTCTCTCTCTCTCTCTCTCTCTCTCTCTCTCTCTCTCTCTCTCTCTCTCTGCACTATAAACACATTTGAGATTATTGTAACTCATTTCTGATCTGATCTAAGTGGTCTCAAGGCATGGCGTCCGCCTCAAGTGCAGGTGCAGGTCCCGGTGAAGGTGTGGATTTTTTCCCCTGGTCTCTGGATTGTAAGATCGAACGCCCGTGTGTATTGTTGCGCACGTAAAAAATCCATTAGCAGTTAGAAATGTAAAAGAGTAGCCTGACATCACTGCCCGAGCAAAATTTGGAGTTAAAAGTCTACCCAAAGTATTTCAGGATCCTCCCGGGTGCTACGGAGTTCGTGCACTGGGCTGAGATTCTTCTGGTTCAGGCTTGTTAGAAGTAGAACAGAGCACTTATAGGTTACTAACCTTGTGCTATGAGTTGATCTGTTGTATAAACAAATCATTTCTGTGCCCAGCAAACAGAGTGAAGTTCACTGCCTGGCTGAAGAATGAACGTAACCTGTGGTGTGTCTTGATTGAGGAGATGAGAGCTGGCAAGATTGTAGCAGAAGCCACCAAAGACTTCACTGCCATTGGCCAGGCTGTTCAGAATGTCCTCCTGCTTGATGCCATTATCAGAAGGTTTGTTAACTGAAAGTTATGGCACGCCATTTAGGTTATATCACAGCAGAATGACACACAGCTTCGTGTATTTCTTTGAAATACGCTTTTAAAAAATTCTTCCCCCTCCCTATCCTTCTCTTTCTTTCTCACTGTGTGCATGTGTGTGTGTTTTTCTTCCTCTCTGTGTCCCCCTCTCTCTTTCTGTCTCTCTTATTACTGTAAGGAAAGACAGTCATAAATCAATATGAAAATTGACTCTCAATGTTAAGGGCATCTTTCTGGTACCTTTCAGTCTTTCCAGTTGATAATGTTATATTGTGCTATGGGGAGGCTTGGGAAACAGCCCATAGCGATGGTGAGTGTGACTTGCAAGGCTAGTTCTTGGAAGAAAGTTCCATACTGCAGACTTCTTCAGGCTTGAGACCCAGCAGCTGTACACACACCATAATTATAAACGACTCATAGAGCATGTTGAGAAAGGTGGAGAGAAGTATGCTTCATGCAAAGTGACAATCATTGTTTCAATCATCCTGAGTAGTTAGCAATATTTGGATATTTTCTCCAGGTCATATTTGTGTAGTGGGAAACAAACAGACAGATAGACCAGCTGATTCTGTACCACTTGATGGTGAATTGATGCATAACTAGCTGGTTGTTGTAAAAGTCCTTTGGGAGCTAGTGAACAGTTTAGAAGAACAAATAGATCACATGAGTCTGAGAAGAATTGTTCTGTGAGGCAGCTGATTTGACTGATGCTCAGAACTCAAGGAAAAGGCAAGACAGACATAAAATCAGACTGTCACTGATGCCGTTGGAAACTATAGTGCCAGGTTTCCTTTTAATGTATACAGAATTCTAAACAATGCTTACCTGTTGTGAGTCTAAGTAATGAGGACACAGTTAATTTTCGGGCATATTTTGCGGTATCTTATCAGGTGGGGTGTACCAAAGATGAATTAGGGCGTCGTTAATTTAACAAATAGCATCACCAACTTACAATGCCACCCGCCAAGTGTAACAGAACATGATGAAGGTTAAAGGCTTCCAAACGTAGTTGAACGATAACTCTCTTAAAAGGTTTAATTGTTGTATTGACAACAGCAATCATCAACAGAAGGAGAAAATGTGCAATTAATAATTCAAACACGCCAGCACAAGCAACCGCTCATACATTTACTGACTTCCTAACAAATGACGGGTCGCTGTCCGATCTTGGAAATCCAGACAGTCACATCGATCTCAGTCCGACCTTGGAAATCAGGGCAGTCATCTCGATCTTCTCTTCTGCAGTCTGAACAAGGTAGTATAAGTATACCGGCTTACTGCCGAACATAGTAGACAATATACCAGCTTTCTGTTGAGGTTTATAGTGAAGTCCCGGGTAGAGCGTCCTCAAGGATCCAACTTTGATTACCATTCATTCAGTGGCATCGCAGGGTAAAGCATCTTCAAGGATCCACACGTCTGTCTCCTTTAGACTGTAAACATCAAATGCCTTTGACAACAATTCCTTCACAACCTTATGTATTGTTTTGACGTCTTATTTGCTCACTCAGTAGTGGTGCGTTCTTGTGCACATCCGCATGCGACACATGACTACCACTAAACATTTTAACACTAAGAGCCCTATCATTTAGATGGGGGCCGAACTAGAGGTCCAACATGAAAGCAATCCATAGATGGAATATCAGCATCTACGTAGCACACACAAAGATGCACACCTGATGCCTCTACAAAACCCCACACTGAAAGACAGAACCAGACTGGAGGAGAATTGTGCTGTAGGCAGGCTTGTGTATCATAATGATTAGTGATTAAAAAGGATTATCATCACAGCACTCTGGACAGATCCATAGGTGCTCCGATCTCCTCCTTAAAAGCTCCACAAGTGTAAAATGACTGATGATGCCTGTTCTGTGTTGGTTAATGAAACGTCTTGTCCCCTTAGTGAAATCTTCATTTCTTGCAGCTCTAGGCTGCACCCCCATGTCCATCAGTCTATACAGCGATACGGAGTCATGTCCTTTTTCGTGCTCCTTGGTACGGTAAGTGCAGCGAATGGCATTGATAACATCACTTCTGTCCAGTACTGGGCCAGCCATAGCGACTGCAGTCTCAGCAAGATAGTCTGCATGCTCGTTCCCTTGAACACCCGCATGACCTGGCACAAAGATGAAGGTTAGGGCAGATATTTGTGAAGGGCTTAGTGTTGCAATCCATGCTTGCCTGATAAATCCAGCTTGGAATTTTTAAAGCATTTTCACTGAGTCACTAAGAATGCATACGTGTGCGAACCTTTGAGTACCAAGCTATGCCAAAGCCCTTGTTACAGCCATAGTTTCCATTGTAAGGGTACTAGTAACGCAAAGACGCCATTTATCTTCTTGATGGTTTTCCTCCTTGAGCTTACTGTGAAGGCCCATGCACTTTGCTTGCCCCTAATTACTGACCCATCTGTGTAAACTACAGCATCACCTTCATCTGTGTTTTCGTCAATCAGTGTTCTGACTAAAGTGTCAACAATGCCAGGAATCTGCTCTCTATAGCTTCCATCAAGTCTGATATTGACTGTAATATTAATGTTTGGAGAGGGAGGCATAAGTATCCATTCATTTCCAAACGTGTTCGATGGCATCCTCAGCCCATCCCATCCAGGATTTGCCTTGTTTGAGTCTACTCCTTTTTTGATTGAAGCTTGAATAATTCCTCATAAAGTGGGTGTCAATGGTCTGACTTCACTTTGAGGAAAGCAACAGCCCTTGATAGCTTGATTCTGTTTTCCATTGTAGGGGAAATCCAAGAGGTATCGCATGGATTTACAGGAGGTGTCTCTAGTGCATCCACTTGGATATCATAGCACATGGCAGTACCAGTTATAACCAGGGATGAAGTCTCTCCTCTGCAGAGTACAAAGCCTGATTAGTATTATATAGACTGTGTGTTCCTGTCCATAGCACAAAGCCTGAATAGTAATTAAAGAGACTGTGTATTCCTCTCCATAGTACAAAGACTGAGTAGTATTATAGAGACTGTCTTTCTCTCTGTAGCACAAAGCCTGAGTAGTATTATAGAGACAGTGTGTCTTCTCTGTAGCACAAAGACTGAGTAGTATTATAGAGACCGTGTGTTTCTCTCTGTAGCACAAAGCCTGAGTAGTATTATAGAGACCATGTGCTCCTCTCCATAGCACAAAGCCTGAGTAGTATTATAGAGACTATGTGTTTACATGCCCAGTACAGTAGAACCTTGCTTAACAAGCACCTCTCATAACGAGTAATTCGCATAACGAGCAAAACAAATTGTAAAAGAATGACTTGCTTAACGAGTGACGTTTTGCATAACGAGTGGCGAGGAGAGGGGACGTCCCGGATTGTGCGCATGTTACATCAGTCTGTGTTTAGCACTCTTCCCAGTAGCATCGTAGTGTCGCATGTGATCACACATTTTCTCAAACTTGTGTTTTTTGTGATGTATGTGCATGAATCCTCCAGGCCTACAAGATGACCTCCCTGAAGAATTTAAGTTTATCAAGATCCAGTTTCTGCCTCCCAACACCAAACTCTTGAAAATGTAGAACATTTCACATATCTTGACAGTGTGGTGTCCCTGCCAGGAGGGACCGAAGAGGACATATAGTCACGTCTTAACAAAGCTAGAGCTGCTTTTGGAAGGATGAGGCAAATCTGGAAATATAACAATTACTGCACAGGAACGGAACTCCGACTCTACAAGAACATCATTTTGCCAGTTTTTCTTTATGGAGAAGAATGCTGGAGAATGACCAAAAAGGATGCACACAAGCTGTCCACCTTCCACCACACATGTCTTCGAAGAATTATCAAAATTTTCTGGCAAGATGCAATCTCAAACACTAAACTACTTCAAGTCACAAACCAAGAAACTTTAGACAATATGATAACCAAGAGAAGATGGAAATGACTTGGCCACGTTATGAGAATGAATCCTCATATACCTGCCAAAACAGCTCTCACATGGACACCAGAGGGAAAGAGAAAACAGGGGCGCCCAAAAACAACATGGAGAAGAACGATGGAAAGTGACCTGAGTGCGGCATCTTTGACATGGAAAACTGCACTGAAGATTGCACAGGACAGGAAAGCATGGAAAGTCCTCTCTGAAGCCTCATGTGCCACTAGGCACAATGAGAACTGATGATGACTGAACACCACTCCGTTACTCCAGCCCATGGACCAGCAAGCTCTACACTAAAGCACTCTTCAAGCATTGTCTTCAGGTGACTGAAGAAACCAAATCACTCTCGAAGAGTTTTGGAAAATTCACTTCCACATCGTTGCCTGCCTCAAAATGATCGACAAGGCGGGGGAAGGGGTTACCAAGAGAACCCTAACTTCTGCTTGGAAGAAACTTTGGCCGGAGAATGTTGTCGATTTATGACTTTGAGGGGTTCGAGACAGTACCTGTGGAACCTGAAGTCAACAAGATTGTGTCTTTGGTCACTGTCATGGGATTGTAGGTGGATAACAGTGATATCGAAGAGCTTGTGGAAGAGCACAGCCAAGAGCTGACCACTGAAGAGCTAATGGAGTTGCATTGTGTTTCACAGCAAGACCTTTTGGAGAAAAGTTTGTCAAAGGAGGAGGTAACAGAAAAGCAAAATCTTCTGTCGAAATAAAAAAAATGCTAAAAGCATGGGAAACTGTTGCATCATACATTGAGAAGCCTCACCCTAATAAGGAAGTGGCTATGCACGCTGCAAATTTATTTAATGATAATGCTGTGTCGCATTTTCACCAAATTTTGAAGTTTTGGACATCTTTCTAATAAAAAAAATAATTAGCTAGTATCATAATTATTTTGACTTTTTGCTGCAAATCGAATTCGCATTCTAGGTGGGTTCGTTCCGCATTTGAAGAAAAGATGAAGATGATTCACTCTCCTTAACAATATGTATATAATTTTCTTTGAATGTATTTTGTGAGTATTTTTTCAACATGGAACGCATTATCATATTTTACATTAATTTATATGAGAAAAATTGTTTCGCATAACGAGTGTTTCACTTAACGAGTTTGATTCTGAAACAAATTATGCTCGTTAAGCGAGGTTCCACTGTACTGAATGAGTTAGTTCCCTGGCCTTAGTCTAAAATTCAGCAACGATTTTAACATTTTCTATTTAAAGTAACCAATTGTTTCCACAGTGGACAAGATGAGTCTGTTACCCATTATGGACAGGTAAACTGTGCTGTGGAAACTTTATGCTTCTTCACTTCTTACATGGCCGATGATCGTCACAATTTGCCAAAGGACACTGTCTCAGCCTTGCAACATCGAGTGGACCCAAATATTGGGCAGCGGGAAAGAAAGACAGTTGAAGTTATGTTATACACTTCAGGTAATTGGTTCTTACGCCCCAGTAAGATATCTAATTTACACAGTATATAAATATCTAGCACATTTTATTGTTGTAAAAATGTCTACTGCTTGTCAGTCATGGAAGCCGGCATGGTGTTATGGCTAGACACTTGCCTGCAGTCCTAAAGGTCATGAGTTCAAATCTTCATCGAACCAGATTTTTTTCAACATTGGCATTGGTTCCCAGGTCAACCCAGCTTTAAATGGGTACCATATAAGGTCCTAAGAAGTCAAGGTGGCTAGCATTAGGTTGACCACATCACCCACCACTGAGTGCTGATTGGTCTATAGAATATAGGTGTAGCACTATATATACAGTCAGTCATTAAAATCTGGAAAAGAATGTATAAATGCAGCAACATAATATTTTATAAATAATAAATCAGTCCTCAGTAAGTACTATTTATTCCTTTAGAAGCCTCAAGATAATGTCATAGACAACATTCTTGAACACGCCATGTCTTTATTCTGTGGTCACATCATGTACTTAATAAAGCCATTATTTTATTGGAGCTTTATTGGGGCACATCAGGAATGTAATGAGAATGACAGAAGAAATAACTGCAGAAAGGAGGAGAGCTGAGTGTCTCAGAAGAAACACACTAAACACAAATGATGGCAACAACGGTCCAGAAATTCCAAGCTATAAATGTGAAGGACTTTTCCTAATGCTGGTGGGATTTGCTAGCCACACTCTCCATCGCCATGGGCTGGGAGTTCCATGCCTCCTCATAGCGCAGTATAACACTATCGTCTGTAAAGACGAAAACATTCCAGCTACTTTATTGGATCTGGAGCATTCTCAGTGTTTTGTAACTGTGTAACTAAAACACTAACTAGAAGAAAGGCAAAATTGAACCTGATAATCAACTTGATTGCACCAGGCGGTCCCATAAGACTCGGCCTCTGTCCACAGAACAGCTAGCTTTAAAGGAAAGCTACAAATATATCATCATCTGTCACTTGGTCCTTACAGAACGTCGCTCTTGTCACAGCACGCCTGAGATTCTCTCTTTCTCTAGCCAGTTCTCCAGCCCTGTGTGCTTTTGTAGCCAATGCATCATCAGTGTCTTGTTTCCACCTTCGCGAAGGTCTGACTTTTCCTTGTTTTCTGAAAACATTACTCTCCATTATCATTCCCTCCAGGCCACCATAACTTTTAACATGGCAAACAAACCTCAGCTTTCAGAATTGGATGCAATTTAAGAAGACATCTTGATACTCAGATTATGCAGGATTGCAAATATATACTTACAGTAAAACTGGTACACTAGACCTGCTATCAGTGTTAAATGTATCTTGTTAACTCATCAAATTCTCCTTTTTTTTTTTTTTCATGGCCAGATTTAAATAACAGCAATTCCCCACGACTGTGGTGTGGTATGGGAGATGGGAAAGTTAGGGTTTTTGATGCCACAAACTGGACACTGGAGAGGAGTTTTGTACAAACCAAACATACTGTGGTAAGAATATACATGGTGTGACATCATTGTTTGTCTGTAACAGAATCTTTCTAGGCTCTTGCTTCTCTTTAGAAGAACAATGCACCAGTGGGAACCTTTCCTTGGAATATTTCCTGAAATAGTGAAGTTGACATTGTTTTTGGCACCTTTCCATCTTTCTAGATGATAGTGTTTCATTGTGCCGTATGGATGCCATGGAATCACAACCTATGGCAATAACATCATGGCAATAACCAGAGATGGAGTTTCTCATCTTCACAGAACAAATCCTGGGCAGTGTTGCAGAGACACTGTCTTGCCATTACAGCATGATTTCTCACTCGTCCTGCTTTTGTTAATTCCAGTATGTTTGGAACAATGCATCAGAAGAGCTTCTTTCCTATCTTGTTGTAGACCCATGTTAAGGGACTAGTCAGCTCTGCAATAACACTTTTTTAAATTTAAGGCTGCATTTCATTTTTCAGTTTCCTTCGCAAAGTTTTTAGTTTTGTCTTGTTGCAGTAAAATAGTTCAGCTCGAAATTGGTGTCCAAAACCTAGAAAAAAAAGTGTTGTCCTGAAAGAGTTAAAATAATAATTATAAGAAATGACAATGTTATACCAGTACAGATAATTAAAGCACAGATACATACGCAGATTGACACAATAAATAATTACCTTAGAAATCAGTAAAACATGCCCAAATTAGAAATACTGATTGAGTCTGATTGCGAGACATTCATAAAGCATGTCAAATTTACAACAGTTGTAAATCATTTTGATCTTATAAACTTACACTGCTGCCATTTACAAAATTTACACACACAAAATTCTTAATATTTCTTCACCTTTATCTTTCATATTTTCACTGTTGTCTTTCAAATCTTCACTATTATCTTTCATATTTTCACTGTTATCTTTCATATCTTTACTGTTATAGTTATACAAACATTCTAGAGGAACATTTTGTATCTTTTACCACAGTCTGCCCTGATATCTGTTGGTGATACTCAAGTCTGGGCTGGTTCTCATGGAATCTTTATTATTGAGACTGAGACAGTGAGCTGTAACAACACTTTGACAGACCATCCGGATTTGGTAGTAGATATTGTTCTCGCAAACCAGGGCAGGTAAATATCATATTTAGGGGAAGCAACTCCACTGTTGTACACTGTAAGAGTAATTAACCCTTGTTTAAGCTTAACCATTACAGCCTGTACTTACCACAATGAGCAGAGGAGTCTTTAAATCTCAAGATTTAGGACCTAATGGCTAGTGCTGTCATTGTGGACTGTGCAGGTTAGGATATTTTTGCTTCCAGTAGAAAACAAAGGCCACAACCTTACTGAGTACTTGAACCTGGGTATCCCATATAGGAGTCCTGCATTCTTTACCATTCAGTCAGACAGCCATTCAACGTCTTCCCCCTGTGGAATGCAATTTTGTGTGTGTGTGTGTGTGTGTGTGTGTGTGTGTGTGTGTGTGTGTGTATGTGTGCTTTAGCCAGGGACCCTAAATATAGCCACGCCTTACGGCCTAACAGCTGAATGGGGTTTCTGGGACCTCTCCACGGGTGATCCTCATCCGCATGGTAGCACTTTGTGTCACGGGGTGTTTATCGCTTGTGTGATGTCCTGGTGGGGTACAACACCTACCTACCTACCATACAGTCAGCTGTCTCTTAACAGTCTTGACAGCTGACATAAATGAAATAAAGGGCTTAATTATTTTTACCAAGTTTGGTGCCAGATTCTAACGTTTTTGTTTTTCTTTTACTTAAAATTTAACAATCAGTTATTTCTGAGTATTTTAAAAACTACTTTAACTCTTTCAGTCCCAGGGGACTTAGCATCAGGGCCCGAGTGGTAGTAAAGAGAGATGTGAAAGCAACACATCTTATGTTCATTAGGCTTCTGGGTAAGACTCGATGAACGTTTGATGTATTCCTTGGGACTGAAAGAGTTTAGGGTTTATAGTACAAGGTCTGACAATTAAATAATGAGACTGATTTTATTATGACCAAGACAACATTCATAAAGCATGTCATTTGTATAAAATGTACAACAGTCATAAAGCATGTCATTTGTATAAAATGTACAATAGCCATAAAGCATGTCATTTGTATAAAATGTACAACATTCATAAAGCATGTCATTTGTATAAAATGTACAACAGTCATAAAGCATGTCATTTGTATAAAATGTACAATAGCCATAAAGCATGTCATTTGTATAAAATGTACAACAGTCATAAAGCATGTCATATGTATAAAATGTACAACAGTCATAAAGCATGAAATTTTTAAAAAATGTACAACAGTCATAAAGCATGAAATTTGTATCAAATTTACAACAGTCATAAAGCATGTCATATGTATAAAATGTACAACAGTCATAAAGCATGTCATTTGTATAAAATGTACAACAGTCATAAATCATGTCATATGTATAAAATGTACAACAGTCATAAACCATGAAATTTTTAAAAAATGTACAACAGTCATAAAGCATGAAATTTGTATCAAATTTTCAACAGTCATAAAGCATGAAATTTGTATAAAATGTACAACAGTTATAAAGCATGTCATTTGTATAAAATGTACAACAGTCATAAAGCATGTAATTTGTATAAAATTACAACAGTAAAAAAGCATGTCATTTGTTTAAAATGTACAACAGTCATAAAGCATGTCATTCGTATAAAATGTACACCAGTCATAAGGCATGTCATTTGTGTAAAATGTACAACAGTCATAAAGCATGTCATTTGTATAAAATGTACAACAGTCATAAAGCATGTCATTTGTATAAAATGTACAAAAGTCATAAACCATGTCATTTGTATAAAATGTACAACAGTCATAAAGAATGTCATTTGTATAAAATGTACAACAGTCATAAAGCATATATTTGTATAAAATGTACAATAGCCATAAAGCATGTCATTTGTATAAAATGTACAACAGTTATAAAGCATGTCATTTGTATAAAATGTACAACAGTTATAAAGCATGTCATTTGTATAAAATGTACAACAGTTATAAAGCATGTCATTTGTATAAAATGTACAACAGTTATAAAGCATGTCATTTGTATAAAATGTACAACAGTTATAAAGCATGTCATTTGTATAAAATGTACAACAGTTATAAAGCATGTCATTTGTATAAAATGTACAACAGTTATAAAGCATGTCATTTGTATAAAATGTACAACAGTTATAAAGCATGTCATTTGTATAAAATGTACAACAGTTATAAAGCATGTCATTTGTATAAAATGTACAACAGTTATAAAGCATGTCATTTGTATAAAATGTACAACAGTTATAAAGCATGTCATTTGTATAAAATTTACAACAGTCATAAAGCATGTCATTTGTATAAAATGTACAACAGTCATAAAGCATGTCATTTGTATAAAATGTACAACAGTCATAAAGCATGTCATTTGTATAAAATGCACAACAGTCATAAAGCATGTCATTTGTATAAAATTACAACAGTCATAAAGAATGTCATTTGAATAAAATTTACAACAGTTATAAAGCGTGTCATTTGTATACAATTTACAAAAGTCATAAAGCATGTCATCTGAATAATACAGCGGTCATAAAGCATGTCATATGTATCAAATTTACAGTGGTCATAAAGCATGCCATCTGTATAAAATGTACAGTGGTCATAAAGCATGTCATGTGTGTAAAATTTACAGCTGTCAAAAAAGCATGTCATCTAAAAAAAATTACAATAGTTATGATGCATGTCATCTTTATACATCTACAATGATCATAATACATGTTTTTGTATCATAAACAGACATAAATCATGTCATCTGTATGATTTACAGAAGTCATAAAGCCTGTTGTTAATATAATATTTACAACAGTTGTGAAGCATTATCATTTTATAAATTTACACTGCTGTCATTTCCAAGCTTTTTAAAAAAAAAAGTGTTCATGTTTCTTCACCGTTATCTTTCATATCTTCACTGTTATCTTTCATATCTTCACTGTTATCTTTCCTATCTTCACTGTTATCTTTCATATCTTCAACATTTTCTTTCATATTTTCACTGTTATCTTTCATATCTTCACTCCATAGATATGCATACAGCGCTAGTGTGGATGGGACTATTATTCGTTGGGAACTGCAGACACTGCGAGCTGTGAAAAAAATTCAGCTGTCTGAAACACACAGCCTTCGCAGTATAAAACTTTACGATAACAAGCTCTGGTGTGGTATGTTTCTACATTGATTCTTTTATGCTGTTGAACTCTTTATGTCCCTTTATAATATACTCTGTGTTTTCAAGCAATACCTAACTGTCAAGAATAGTTGAAATTAAAGATTTAGAATAAAGTTGGTGTAAGCAGCAACTGTTTTTTTTGGATAACAGCAGTTACATTTATATTTTGAGCTTAACTGTCTTGGTCTGTAAAATATAGGTCTAGCCCTATATGCCCAGTACATCTAAAGGCACGGAAAAGTGTCCTTATTTAGGGCATACTAAGATTCATAGCTGATGCTTCTTCAAAACCTGATGCTAAAATGCAGAATTGCACTAAAGAAGAAGAAGAATAAGTAATATCTATCTGGGACAGAACAAACGATTTTAATGTGGGTATATGACTTAGCAGATTGCTTTTCTTTGATTTTGATGGTGATATGAAGCATCGACCATTTAAAGGCAAACTACTGAATGATCAACAAACAAACTTTATTTTTAAAGGGTCATAACTACTCATCTTTCCACAACAATTGTATTTAACTATTTATCAATTTAAACATTATTGTGATCATATAACAGTGTATAATATGAATATCCAGTAAAGCAACAAGCAAACACAAAATCATAGATGGTTAATGCATACACACAACACAGGCATACATACATATATACAAACATACATATAGTAATAATACATACATATAATACATACATAATACATACATATGCACGCATGCACGCACACACACACACACGAGGGAGAGAGAGAGACATACACACACATATACACACACATACACACACATATACACACACATACACACACACACACACACATATATATATATATCAATCAATCCATGCATGCAGGTAGGTATGCACACACACACACTGAGCGTAAAATGGATTTTTTTTTTTAACTTCATACCTTGACAGTTATGATTCGCTTAAAATTGGTGGAAACCCTATTCCGGAACTCCGCTACGCAGATGACACAGTCCTCCTTTCGAACAGCGTAAAGGGAATAGAAAATTTAATATTGTCTGTACAAAAGCACAGTGAAGATCAAAATCTGTTCTTGAATTTAAAGAAAACGAAAATAATGTCCACAGATAAAACTAGCTGTCACCCAAAAAAAAAAAAAATGATGAAGAAATTGAAAATGTCACAAACTTTGAATATCTAGGCTCTATAATATCCAGCAATGGAGACTGTTTGACAGAAATTAAAAGGAGGATGGCCATAGCAATGCAAAGATTGAACAGCCTTAAAAGTCTATGGTTAAGCACCAGCAAGGAGATAAAAATTAGAATTTTGAGAGCATGCATCTTCCCTGTGGCTACATACGGATGTGAGTCATGGACTATCTCTCAGTCCTTAAGAAGAGAATAGGGGCTTTTGAGCTGAAATGCTATAGAAAGATTCTCAGAATATCTTGGACAAAGAAGAGGAGAAATATTGACATCTTGAAAGATCTGAACATCAAGGAAGATTGACTAATAAACAGCATCCTTTCCCGGAAGCTGAAATATTTTGGTCATATCAAGCACCACAATGGATTGGAAAAAACTATAGCAGAAGGCATGGTACCAGCAAGGAGGGGCAGGGGCCGACCTACACAAAGATGGGCACAGGATATAAGTGACTCCTTGAGTATGAAAGTACATGAGGCGGGAGAACTGGCGAGAGACCGAGTTTCTTTCAGGCAGATAGTGATGAGTGCGACATTCTGCAAAAGACCTGCTTCATGATGATGATGATGATGATGGTGACCTTGATTAGATAATGGTTGTCCTATAGCTTAGTGGATACTAATTTAGTACTACTCTAGTAGTACCTGAAGAAACTTTAAAAAAAGAAAAACAAACAGAGAAGTGGAGGACACAACACAGGGGAAGAGAAAAAAGGGCAGACCAAGGATGACACCTGTAAAACAACTTTACCCAAATCTGTCTACCCTTTTCTTACTGAATAACATTTTCTTTAGTTTTCTGAAAGACTTACATAATGATTGATTAACACACTAATTCGCAGGAACCTGGCCACACATTATAGCCTTGGACTTGGAGGGCAACCCTCTACAGACGTTCACCCACATGCCTGATAGTAATACAGGCAAAATTCTAGAGCTGGACTGTTTTGAAGTTTTTAATGATGAGGTTAGCATTATTTTAACATCTTTTTTAACCCCCGAAAAAATGAATTTTAACAATTCTTAACTCGAAAGACCACAAACATTTTACTTTTAAAGATTGAAAGCGTTTCACAACTTACTGTTATCTCAGTAGACAATCAGTTCCAAGTAATATGGAAACAGCTTTGCGAGCTCACAACTAGATAAGAGACCACTGTGCTTCTTGCCTACGGAGACAGAACCAAGTGATCATATTTTCACAGCTTCCTGAGTCATACAGTGAACAGTTCAAATTGACAGGGTTTGATCATTTTTGCTGCTGCAACTGCTACCACCACTATTATTAATAATATGACTACTACCACTAGAACTACTGTTTCTTTTACAACAAATACTACTACATTACAACTACTCCTACAACTACTGCTACTACCACTTTTATTACTGCTACAACCAATACTACATTACTACTACTACTTCAACTACTGCCACTACTATTACAACGACTACTAAAACAAGTACCACTACATTACTACTGCTGCTTCCACTCATCATCAAGTAGCAGGTCCTTTGCAGAACATCGCTCTCATCACAGTCTGCCTGAAAGAAACTTGGTCTCTCGCAAATTCTCCCGCCTCATGCACTTTCATACTCAAGAAGTCACTTATATCCTGTGCCCAACTTCGTGTCGGTCAGCCCCTGCCCCTCCTTCCTAGTACCACACCTTCTGCTATAATATTTTTCCAATCCGTCGTGGCGCTTGATATGACCAAAATATTTCAGCTTTTGAGAAAGGATGCTGTTTTTTAGCCAATCTTCCTTGACGTTCAGATCTTTTAAGTTGTCAGTATGTCTCATCTTCTTTGTCCAAGATAGTCACTGCTTCTACTACTGCTACTAATATTACCATTACTACTACTATGATTACTACTATTATTGCTATAATCAGTACTACTACTACGGCAAGTACTACTACATTAAGAAAATAGAGACGGGATGGATTTGAAGAAACTGGTTGGAGTCAGTGAGGAAATCTCATATGAAAGGAATTAGTTTCATTTTTGTGCTAGGACACTCTGGGGTAAGAGGGAATGGACGAGCGGATTGGCCTCCTGGCAGGGCCACGGCAGGTACAGGAAAAGCAATGGACTAGGTTGACATTCTCAGTGCTCTTAAGGATGCAGGACGAGAAGATGATTCAGGAGATGACGTTGAATAGGCAACACTAAAATGACTACAAGAACTTCAGGTCAAAAGAGGTGTCACCTATCATTAACATTATACAGGTAGTCCAAGAAGAATAGTAAACCAACACAGAACTTGTGTTATCAGTCGCCACACTCTAAGGGGTATACTGAAGATAGAAGCCGAGCGCTTAAGGATTTGTACGATGTGCAATGAGGGTTATCTGTTGAGTAACTATCTAACTAACTAAACTAACTAACTAACCAAACTAACTAACTAACTAACTAACTAACTAACTAACTAACTAACTAACTAACTAACTAACTAACTAACTAACTAACTAACTAACTAACCAGCCAGCCAACCAACCAACTAACTTACTATCTAACAAACTCTCTAACTACATTACTACTACTGCTACCACAACTGCTACCACAACTATTACTAATATTTCTGTAACTACATGTACTTCTGCAGCTGCTGTTACTACTTTATTATTACTACTACTGAGGGCTTATATCTAGAAAAACAAAGGTGCCACTACTCACAACAGATGTCTTTAAGAAAAAGGTGTCAGTACTGTGAACCATTATGAACCACCAGGGGAAAAAACATTCCCTGCTACCACTACAGGCAATAGTACTGTCAGAACTACAGTTAGCACTCACCATCTTCATTAACCTGTGCCTTGCTACCACTACAGGCACTAGTACTGCTATAACTATTGTCAGAACTACAGTTAGCACTCACCATCTTCATTAACATGTGCCTTGCTACCACTACAGGCACTAGTACTGCTATAGCTACTGTCAGAACTACAGTTAGCACTCACCATCTTCATTAACATGTGCCTTGCTACCACTACAGGCACTAGTACTGCTATAGCTACTGTCAGAACTACAGTTAGCACTCACCATCTTCATTAACATGTGCCTTGCTACCACTACAGGCACTAGTACTGCTATAGCTACTGTCAGTACTACAGTTAGCACTCACCATCTTCATTAACATGTGCCTTGCTACCACTACAGGCACTAATACTGCTATAGCTACTGTCAGTACAACAGTTAGCACTCACCATCTTCATTAACATGTTCCTTGCTACCACTACAGGCACTAGTACTGCTAAAACTATTGTCAGAACTACAGTTAGCACTCACCATCTTCATTAACCTTTGCCTTGCTACCATACAGGCACTAGTACTGCTATAGCTACTGTCAGTACTACAGTTAGCACTCATCGTCTTCATTAACATGTGCCTTGCTACCACTACAGGCACTAGTACTGCTATAGCTACTGTCAGTACTACAGTTAGCACTCATCGTCTTTATTAACCTGTGCCTTGCTACCATACAGGCACTAGTACTGCTATACCTACTGTCAGTGCTACAGTTAGCACTCATCATCTTCATTAACATGTGCCTTGCTACCACTACAGGCACTAGTACTGCTATAGCTACTGTCAGTACTACAGTTAGCACTCATTGTCTTCATTAACCTGTGCCTTGCTACCACTACAGGCAATAGTACTGCTATAGCTAGTGTCAGTACTACAGTTAGCACTCATCGTCTTCATTAACATGTGCCTTGCTACCATGCAGGCACTAGTACTGCTATAGCTACTGTCAGTACTACAGTTAGCACTCATCATCTTCATTAACCTGTGCCTTGCTACCACTACAGGCACTAGTACTGCTATAGCTACTGTCAGTACTACAGTTAGCACTCATCATCTTCATTAACCTGTGCCTTGCTACCACTACAGGCACTAGTACTGCTATAGCTACTGTCAGTACTACAGTTAGCACTCATCATCTTCATTAACCTGTGCCTTGCTACCACTACAGGAACTAGTACTGCTATAGCTACTGTCAGTGCTACAGTTTAAACTCATCATCTTCATTTTTATTTGACCCTATCCATCTGGTCAGACCATCCAGTTATTTATCTTTTTGCTTTCCTCTTGCTCTCTTTTCATCAGTCTCGCTAGTTGTTATCAAGTTCTCAAGTCCATTACTTCTCGTAATGTGTCCTCTTCAAAACATTGGCTGTCTGCATCTGATTTTCTAAGTTTACTACAACTTTCGTCTGTCTCGATGAGGATTGTTTCATTTGTTTTTCTGTTCTTCCATGATATTCTTGTTATTCTTCTCAGAAACCACATCTCGGTTGTGAGTAGATGTTTTTCATATGGCCATATAATAGTCCATGTTTCACATGCATACAACAACACAGGCTCTACATATCACTTCAACACTCTTTTTCTCTCTACTGTTGACATCTTCTTGTTGGTGAGAATCTTTTGCATCTTGCTTAAGGCCACTTTTGCCATGGTGATTCTTGTTCTGATGTCTGCAAGGCATCTTGCATCAGATGTTATGACTGTTCCTAAATAGTTGTATCCCTTAACTTGCTTAAAAATTTTGCCGTTTTGCGTTTATTTGGTATTTCTTTCTTCTTGTTGATGATCATAATTTCCAAACCTAGTTTTTCACTGCATCCATTAAACACTGCAGATCTTCTTCATTGTCTGCAGTTAACACCTTATTATCTGAATATCCTATATTATTGATACTACATCCTCCCACATTAGTTAGTAGTTAGTAGAACTAAATTTAACTCTTTGAGTCCCAAGAAACGCATCATACGTTCATAAGTTACTGCCTAGAAGCACAATGAACGCATGATGCGCCGATTTAACGTGTCTCTTGACTACCCCTTGGGCCTGTGATGCTGAACCCTCTGGGACTCAAAGAGTTAATACTACTAGTACTACCCCCTGCACAGAATAGAGGGAATCAAATGGTATGATAAAAAACACTAATGTAGAGCTTTGGGAGAGAACTAGGCAAGCTCCACTGGACCATGAGATGAAGAAAAGATTCTGGCGTCGGATAGGGCACACATTGAGAACAATATAACTAGATACTTTGCATGGGAACCCACAGGGGCATAGGAATAAAGGAAGGCCAAAAAACACATGGAGAGAGCTGCAAGCGATAGCAAAAGATAGAATGACCTGGCGTGAGTTGGTTGAGGCCCTATACATCATTGAGGGCTAGAAGAAAGCAGAAGAAGAAAGGCAGAAGAAGAAGAAGTACTACCATCTTCTGCATTCTCTTTCGTATGTTATTAGCATGTATTTTTGTTCCATTAGATTTGGGCTGGCTGTCGCAGAGAGAGCCAGGTGGTTATTTGGGATGAGAAGACAACTAGGAAGAAGGAAATTCTCAGACCCGACTGCAGGGGAGTCAGTGTCATTTTATTATTTGGTGACAAGGTAAGAGTTAATGTAGCCAGTTTGTGATTGAACTAAGATGTTGCAGTAGGCCAGATAATAGTTAATGTAGCCAGATAGTGATTAAACTAGGATATTGCAGGACACAAGATGAGAGTTATTGTAGCCAGTTTATGATTAAACTAGGATATTGTAGTAGCTTTGAGTGCACAGGCTTTGTGTCTATTTAAGGAAGACAGGGTGTTGGCATTGTTTTTAGTGAGAGATGGCTTTGCTGACACCTTTCCATCTTTGCAGATAACAGTGTTATATTGTGCTATAGGTAGGCATGAGAATCACAGCCTGTGACAGTCTTGGGTGTGATTAGCAAAACCCACTAGTGTTAAGAAAAGTCTTTCAAAGTTACATCATGGGATTTCAAGACTATTGTTGCCTTTGCTTGTCTCTAAAGTGGCTTTGGGTTAAAGATTAAAGTTAAGATGATTGACTTTATTGCACAGGGTTTTATCCTATATTACATGGTATCTCTCCGCAGAATGGCTAGTCACCTGCTGAGAGCATTGCACAAAGTGCAAACTCCGTAGCTCCAGTGATGATCCTCAGGGGTCCCCCGAAAGTGCTTCATCTCAAACTCTCAGCTTTTAACCTGTCTGCAATAATTTTCTCTGTTATCTCAATTTTCCTTCCTTACCCCCCTCCCCCCTTTGTTTTTTTTTCAACACAGTCCATGGCTTTCTTTCCATGTGACAGCTGGCATTGTCATACTTAATGAGAGCAAGATAAGAGATGGGCTGGGTCCAAAGTCAGTGATTGGTATCTCTCAGGTGGTCAGGGCTGACATACATCAGTTTCAGTTATGTGCCAGGGCATGCAGGCGTGCAAGATAATAAGTAAGATGATAGCCTTACAGGTAAGGCTACTGTGAATAGCGGATGAGCCATGGACCAGGCTGATATACTGAATGCTCTACGAGAAGTAAGAAGTTTAGAAGAACCAAGTGACTGGGAATCTGCAACTATGAATAAACTGCAAGAACAGTTAATTAAAAGGTGTGTGGCAGACAAAAGCGCTATGTAGAAAGCCAAATAAGAATAAGAAACTAACACAGAACTGGTGTGTCGTCAACCACTGCACACCACAGGATTTACTGAGTAGGGAGTGCAAGCACTTATGGACTGAATGGTTTTTCACTGTTTAGTGCAATCACCAAAATCAGTTATCAAGTCAGTGTTCTTGTCTCTCCCCATTTATGTGGCTAAGTCATCCAGGTATTTAACTTCCTCATGCTCCTTTCCCATCCTTTCCCAGTTGTTACTTCATTTTCAATAATAAGGAATAGTAATTCTGTAATTTACCATACATCTAGGAAGAGGTCAAAGAGAAGAGTTGATATTAGACTGGCAGCCTCATCTCATGGAAAACTGCAAAATGTTACTACAAATGAATCTTCTTCTGTTTCTTCTTCACTTCCTCTGTTACTGCTTTGGGTGTCAAGAGAGATATAAGGTTTTGCTTCTTTCACTTCTGACCATCTGCACCATATATATATAGACATTGTGCTGTTGTAGAGCTTCTCTGATGTTATCTTTCCATCCTGCTCCTGGTCTTCCTTTTGCCCTGCGTCTTTCTCCTCTTTTGGTGTATACCTTGTATGGTATGGTGGCATAATGCAATCTCTCCTAATGGAAAAACTATTTGATTTGCTGTCTTTGTATGTAATTTAGAATTGGCTCTGAGAAGACTTTCTGCTGTGACCTCATTTGTGATTTGTATCTCTTCTGGTCACTCCTGCAGCTGTACTCAGACATATCATTTCCATGGTTAATGATTTTCTTGTATGTTTTTGTGTGGGTGTGTGTGATAGACCATGTCTGGCACAGGTAATGTAGGTTGGGAATGAATTTGCTTTTTTATGAGATTTTTTGGAGGGTTCTGGTTGGGACTGTCTTATGCTGTAAAAGTGGTGGAGCGGGGTGAGGGGGAAGCGTCTGTTGTGCCCAATACTTGGCCTGCTTTACTGCATCGGATGTAATTATAGTACTGAGTAGCAAAGTAAAACAAACCAAAAAAAAGTGAATAATCCTCTTCCAGACATTGACCATATTCAGCACATTAGGCAATTTATTACCTATGTATAACAAAGTTAAAGATTTGATGACTGACTTTATTGTACTAGGTTTTTATCCAAAATGGCTTCCTTCCTGTCAGCAGAACGGCTGGCAACCTGTTGAGAGTGTCACACAAAGCACAAATGCTGTAGCTTTTCAGAAATTTCCATAATAATATTGCTAATGCACGTGTCCATGAAACAAACATATAACCTTCAGATTGACGGCACCTGGCTTGAGCACTGCATCATACATTTTTAGATCATTTGGCCCTTGATGGGTGATATAGTCGGCACTAGGTTGACCATTTTGACCTCACACAACATTTCCTAGTACCATTTTTGACCTAGATCAACCTGAAAGCTCAGATGAGGTTTTCTTTTTTTCTAAATATTTTCCACAGTGACCGGATTTGGAAACATGAACATATTCTAGCGGGTGAGCATAGCCACTGCATCGCTGTCATAGCTCACAATATTGCGGTATGAAAGTGAAGACCCCTTTTTATGCCAGTGGTGCATTGGACATATGATGCTTGGCTCCTATTTATAAAAACCAAAAGGCACTAGGTGGGTGATGTGGGCAGCATCACACCGGCCTCCTTTATTTCCCAGGACATTGCCTGGTTCTCTTCTTAGACTGATTCATCCTGCTAGCCAAATCCGGTTCCAATACTGGGATGGGTCTATAGCTAAATCACAGATGATTCAAGCTAAAGCACAGATAATTCAAGCTAAAACACAGATAATTCAAGCTAAATCACATATAATTCAAGCTAAATGACAGATAATTCAAGCTGAATCACAGATAATTCAAGCCTAATCCCGTATAATTCATACATTTGATACCAGGTGTGGGTTGGAACCAAGGACGGGACTATCTTTATCTACAATGCTATCAGCAAACAGCTGTGGAAGACAATTAAAGCTCATGACGATGCCGTCAGGTCCCTGTGTGCTGCAGAATCTCGCTATATTATGTCAGGTGAGAACAGTTTTATGTGCTGTTTGCAAGTGTCAGGTCTTGTTCAGTCTGTACCACATGACCTGCTGATTATTCTCCTTGTGTGGTTTCCAGGGCCCCATTAATGGAGGAAACAGGAATAGACCCACTGACATCTCTCCTCCCCCCCTTCCCCTCCCCATCCCACACCCGCACAAGCATAAAGTAAAAGGCTAAGTTTTTCCTGAAATCAGTTGTTTTGGGCCTAAAAGGCACAGATGTTGAAAGCCTAGCTGTAAACCACAATAGGACCTACCAACTGCTGGTTTCAAGGCAAATACTGTAGAAGAAGGTGATCAGTGGTTACTCAAACCATGCGTTACTTGTTTTAAAAAAAAAATTGTTATTCCACACATTTCTTGAAAAAATACACACACATACGCCCGCATGCATGTATGTACACATACACACAGGCATAACACACATGTATTGAAATAAGGAAAAGAATCTCTGTTAGCAAACTAATTTTTTTTATCTTTATCTTTAGTTTATTTCTAGCTTTGTTTGTAATCAAAGCAATGTTTCTTCATTGCAAATTTAAACAAAGAAGTCATTAACAATAGATTGCTCAGTTTTTTTGCCTGGCATATTTCGCTGTATCTTGTCGTGTTCATACTACAGTAACAATAGATTGCAGTTTTTTGCCTGGCATATTTCGCTTTATCTTGTCGTGTTCATACTACAGTAACAATAGATTGCAGTTTTTTGCCTGGCATATTTCGCTTTATCTTGTCGTGTTCATACTATAGTAACAATAGATTGCACAGTTTTTTGCCTGGCATATTTCGCTGTATCTTGTCGTGTTCATACTACAGTAACAGATTGCACAGTTTTTTGCCTGGCATATTTCGCTGTATCTTGTCATGTTCATACTACAGTAACAATAGATTGCACAGTTTTTTGCCTGGCATATTTCGCTGTATCTTGTCGTGTTCATCCTACAGTAACAATTGAATGAATAAACAAATAACGGCATGATATTGACCCATTAGCTATCAAGTTAGTTAGTTAATTGACTGACAAGCCAATAAGTGCACAGATCCTATCTTCAGTTTCTCCCTTATCATGTGGTGACCGATGACACTAGTTCTGTGTTGGTTTTCTATTATTCTTTGGCTACCTGTACAGTGTTCTTGTCTGGCAACACTTATTTTGACGTGAAGTTCTTGTAGTCTTGTCATGGTTGCTGATTGAGCCTCTGCTCTTGAATCATCTACTCATCCTGCCTCCTTTAGAGCATTGAGAACATCTGCTTGGTCTATTGTTTTTTTCTTTGCCAGTCAAATGTTGATTAGTTGAACAAATATGAAGCTAGCATCATACGAGTGGAAGTCAAATAGTAAGTCACAACTGCTTATGGGTTGGCAGAAAAAAGTAGTTGGTGGATTCTAGAAGTGTCATTAGGTGACAGGAACATCGAACTTCATTTCTCTGTTCGTTAGGTGGCGCTAGATGTTGCATACACATTTGCAACCCAGAAACAAAATGGCGACTACTTACGGAGAGTGCCCTCAAAGAACAACCTGCTGTATTCAGTTTTTTTGGTTGGGGGTGGGGGGGGGGGTGGGGGGGGGGAGCTTTCTGCAAAGGACATTCATAAGGAAATGCTTCCTGATTATGCTGGCAAATGTTAATTCCGTAAAGCGGTTGACTGAAAACCCACCTTTGCGGGAGACAATTACGCAGAAGTTAAATGTGAAGTGAAAATATGGTTTAGAAAACAGTGCACGCAATTCTATGCAGCAGTTTTGGGAGGACTTATAAAATGATGAGACAAGTGCATCAGTATTGGTGAAAATTATGTTGAAAAATAAAGGGACAGTGTATTTGTAAAAAATAAATGCTTTTGTAGTTGTTATCATCTTTAATTTTTTTTTTAACAACTATTTGTGACATAATTATTGACTTTCCCTCGTATATCTGTGAATAAATTAGAAAAGATCTTGGACTTTTTTTTTAAAACTCATTGACTGTATTTTTTATATCAGGGGCTGGCTCTAAGGATGGGAAAGTTGCTATCTGGAGTCCCAATGTGGAGATCAGTGACACAGAGAGTGGTTTAAACTCAGACTAATGCCCAGGCAGCAAGTGTCATTGTTAGCTGTTTGACTCGTTATAAAACATTCCAATTACAAACTAATATTTTTGTGTGTGTACATGTTTGTTTTATTTAACCAGCAAGGAAGACCACAGCACCATCTGTATAATTCAGTATGTAGTTTTTCTTTAGATGACAAATTTGTTTTAGCCAAGGACTGAGATTTCCTGAATTGCCATGGCTAAAACTAGCTTGGGGTGATTTATTTATCAGATTTAGTGCAAAATTATGCATTTTCTAAATTTAAGAGCATAGTGTGATATTATTTAGCAAATTATGCACAAATTAAAATTGAAAAATATTTTTTACTTGTGTGCATTTTTAAACAAAAAACACTGAGCAATGCATTTTATATTAGGATGTAATTCTGAGATGGATTTTGTTAGATTTAGATTGTCTACATGTATTCAACATGAAATATACAGCTCACAGTGTGGCATCAAGCACTCAGCTCATTAGCTGGTTGATGTTGGACACAAACAAGTTGGAGTTTTTGCTAATTATTTTATGCTGGTATTTAACAACCATAACTATGCAGTTTTATTATTTATTTAGCATGTTTCATATTTTTTAGTTGAATATTTATTGTTAGGTTGCTTTTACATACAGAAACATAATGCACAATTTTATGAATATTTGTGTATGTGAACTTTGTGTGTGTGTGTGTGTGCATGAGAGAGAGAGAGAGAGAGAGACAGAGAATGAACGAACAAACTATATTTTCAAAAAGTAACATTAGGCACGCAGGCCTGTCTTACATTCGGCCCTTCCAAACAACCGTCTTTTACACAGCAGTTTTATTTTATCAATGAAGCATGTTATGTTCATGTAATAATATGCATATTATGAATATCAAGTCAAAACACAAAAGCATGGCTGGTACAATGCATGCGCACGCTCGTGCAAACCCATTCACTCACTTACACAGACATAGGCACTCAATACACACATACACACACATCCACATACATACATACATACATACACACACATACATGCATACATGTGTACATACATACATAGATACATACATACAAACACACACACTCATACACAGTCACACACACAGACACACTGTCACAAACACACACAAGACACACCCGCAGACAACCCAGACATATTCACAAACACATACACACCCGCAGCGGCTCACAGACACCTACAAACACACAGACACACATAGGCATAAACCCACACATACACACACACATGAGCCACAGGCACACACACACAGACACATAAACACACACAGGCAGAGACACACACACATACACAAACAGGGGCATAGCAACACCCACACATACACAGACACACACACAGACACACACCCAGTGCAGAGAAAGAGAGACGGAGGAAGAGAAAGAGAGAGAGAGATGCATTTAGTTTTATTGTCCTTATATTCTTACAGCATTTGTCTCACATTTTCATGTTATTGTCTCGTACAATCAACAGAAAGCACTCAGGGTAAACCTTTAGGTAGTTAATCTCCCCCAGCAGATTTTGAAGTGTATATAGGCTGACTGTTTATAATCTGATGGTTGTATAAGCATCTGATCTCCCTCTTTCATCCCCATGTGCATACATTTAAATTAACCACCTATATGATATTAATACATCAAGCATTTTAAAAAAATAATTGTACTTAATAAGGAATGATGGCACAAGCTCAGAATAACTTAATTATAATGTGTCACTCTTAACTTATATTTGAAATTAATAACTGATTATGTTTATATAATTGCATTGAGCATGTTAGATTATCGACATCACTGCACATTGGGCATTCCCATGTGTCTAGGCCTCCAGTGTCGAAGCCACCACAAAGTACCTGTAGTGGTTGTTACCTTAAGAATTTGGTTACAATATCTCCATATCTTCACCTCAAAAATGGCTTTAAAATGCTTCACCAGACTTTATTCTGAGGCCTTGTAATCATGTTAGCTTCAGAGACTTGTACTTATCCGCCACCCTCATCTGTATAGTGGTAGTAGAATTCCACTGTCATTGTGTTTTGCACTGTGTGATAGCAAGTGTAATCAGACATTCCAAAAGAATTCCACTGTCATTGTGTTTTGCACTGTGTGATAGCAAGTGTAATCACAGACATTCCAAAAGAATTCCACTGTCATTGTGTTTTGCACTGTGTGATAGCAAGTGTAATCACAGACATTCCAAAAGAATTCCACTGTTACTGTGTTTTGCACTGTATGGTACTATTTGTGATATGATATTGTTAATTTATGTATCTTTTCTACAATTTGAAAAGCATTTTATATACAGATTTTGTTCCAGTCATTGACAGCATTATGTAGTTAATAATAGGTTATATTTTGTTTACTCACAGTAAACAGTGAGGCAGCAAATATTAGAAAAAAGGTTGTGCTTAGAGAGAAGGGTTTCTGGTGCCATGCTATATACGGCATATATATATATATACACACACTCACATACAAATATATATATGTATATAAATAAAGATCCCTTTTCACACCCTTAGGCGCATCAGGCATATGGGAAGAGCACCAATATTTTTACAGACCAATCGGCACTAGGTGGGTAATGTGGTCAGCATTACGCCGGCCGTTTTCACTTCCCAAGGACATACATCCTGGTACCTATTTAGACTGGGTCGACCTGCAACACCACATACCATACTAAACAATCCCGCCGCCAGCAATGGGTTTCGATTGAGGTATGTTTGAATTACGAATCGGACTCGCAACGCTTAAGCCACGGACGTTGCCATATATATATATATATATATATATATATATATATATATATATATATATATATATATATATATATATATATATATATATATATACATATATATATATATATATATATATATAATTATATATATAGACACACATTTATTGAA